ACAGTGCTCTTCAACAATATTTTGAGAAACAAAAAGTATTAACACCACGACAAGAATTCATTAGATTGATAAAGAAAAAGTCAAGTGGTGCCAAAGGAATGCATAACTCGATTCGGGTGGGTCCTGAAGGACATTTGCTAAACGAATTGTTTAGTTCTGGCAATGCTGAAAAGTTATGTGAACAACTTGAAAGTTCTGATCTCATCGTCAAAGGAGATCCCGGTGCCAGTAAATTTCTTAACTATTCCATTGGTTTTCACGGTCCAATGTATCAAGTAATATATTCAATTCGTATGGAAATAAAATTGACGTTTTCTTTTGAAGATATTCGATGCTGATGAACTGATTATTATCTCACGGTGGATTCTTTCATTACAACCATCTGCTGTCAATGAAATGCTTTCTCTTGTCCTTCAACGTCGAAAATTGGCTGAAAAGATCTCAAATCATGTTACACTCAAGTTATCCGACAAATCCCATAAATCATTGCAACAATTATTTGCTGGTAACATGACTGATCTGTTAGCTGCTTTTCGTGCGAGTGAATGGACCGTTCCATTTGTGAGTCATTTTGATTATGAAGCGATGAGAGAAATGAAGATGATTTTCAAATTCTTTAGAATGGACAAAGATTGACTAAAGAAAACGTTGATACGTGCAAATTAATGAGAGCGATTGAGTCCAATGGTGAACTTGAGCAAGTTTTTAATCGTGACACTGATGACAAAAGAGTTTTGCAACAATGGTTACTCATGGGAGCGCCTTTACCTAATGAAACCTTAGCCGCATCAGAAATATCAAAAAGAAAAATCAAAATTCAGTCGCACGAACGTTTTAAATTCGAACTTTAATTTAATGATAATAAGCGTTTGCTAATAAGATTCTTTCGCTTTTTGATTCATTATAGAACTTCACGAACGAAAACATTTCCTCTGAGAGATTTGAATTCTGCCTCCTAATTTCAAGTTTCCCTTCGTACTTGGATAAAGTACAAAATGCCCTATGCAATTTACATGAATAACACCTTCGGACATGGTAATTGAATTTTCGCAGTATTTCTATGAAGGCATAAACATACGTTCTATTTCGTTATTTCAAAAAGAATATGATTTATGCATGAGAAAAACATACTGTCATTGTTCCACTTCCTCGACATTGAATTCCAGCTGTTGCACCATAATCTTTAAGTATACCGGCACGTGAATGCGTCACAGTTGAACCTTGCTCTAAATCATAATGACAGAACACCAAGCCTGTCGTTTGATCATTTGTCAGACAAATATCAAATAACACCAAGTACAACCGATATTAAGTGGATTGATTGTTATATAAAGATTGAGTGATGTTTCAGGAATGAAAATACTTCCATCAATCAGATATTTTGTATAGTTATGAAACGGTTTTCCTGGTGCTACATATTCTACTGGTTGAGTCAGGCATAAACTCAATGATGTATTCGAAATGATAATCGAATGCATATCTGTACATGAATGTTCATATTCGTTGTAATAAAGAGTTATGGTGTCCAAGAAACGCTCGTATTGACGAAATTCATTTTTTCACCAAATCATACTCTATCGCTTCGAAACATGTTTTTTTTTAATATCAAAAATAATCAATGAAGCGTGTCTTTGAAGATTTTTTTTTTTCGTTTTCTTTCTTTTTCGATAAACATTCGATCGTCTAATTAAACATGATGTACTTTTTTGTGTTTTTCTCACTTTAGAATGGGAAATTCGAACTCGACTTATTCCAATGATATTTCAAATATTCGTCATCGTCATTCTACATCTCCAATTGAAATCAATCAAGAATTCATTTTGATCTGGGTCGATGAGAATGCCAAAGAAAATAATCTCGATTCCCTTCGAACAAAAATCGTGTTGAGACAAATCAATAATGATCATTGTTTATTTTTTGACAATTGCGACGAATTTTTGCTGGAAGTCGAACGAATTCGAAATGAAAATTGTCGAATTATAGTGATTCTCTCTGGTTCATTAGCTAAAGAAATTCTCCCCAAAACTCAACATATCATTTCAACCATAATCATCTTTTGTGAAAATTCAGCATATTATTGTCATTTATCACGGCAATATCTCAACGTTGTGGATATTTGTACAAATTATGAGTCACTGAAAAGTTCGATTCAAAATGAAATTCCTTCGCTAAAGTTAAATTTATTTGCCAATCAAACACTAAAATCTGTTCGAGCATTAACATTCTCGGAAGATTTGACGAATTGTGACGCATTTTATTCATATATTTTATTTCTGGAATTATTAAAACAAATGCCTCAAACAAAACAAGCGAAACATTTGATGTTAAATAAATGTCGAGATTATTATCGAAATGACAAAAAACAAAGTTCTTTAATTGAATCATTTCGAGAAACTTACACATCCGATCAAGCCATTCTTTGGTATATTAAAGATTCGTTTATTTACCGTTTAGTAAATCGTGCATTTCGTACGGAAGATATTACCTTATGGTATTTATTTCGTTTTTATTTAATTGATCTTTGTAAACAATTAGAATTAGTTCATAAACAGCAGAATATTCAAACATCGTTGATACTTTATCGTGGACAAACACGGATGTCGATTGCAGAATTCAATCATCTCAAATTTAACATTGGTTCATTTATTTCAACTAATGGGTTCTTTTCATCATCGACTGATATTCAAATAGCGAGACAATTTCTTGCTGGAGCGATTGATACCGAACATTACAAAGCCATTTTATTTAAAATTCTCCTCGAAAAACCCGTTCTCGACAAAATCATTTTTGTTGATATTGATCAATATGTGGGACATTGTGGAGAAAGTGAAGTTTTGTTTACCATTGGTTCGATCTTTCAAATCGAAAATGTTGAATTCAATAATGAATTAAATGTTTGGCAAATTGAAATCAAAGCAGTTGATCAAAATGTATCCAAAGTAAAAGAATCCATTGAAACAATTAGAAAACGATATGGAAGTGGAGAAAATGTCAATTTTATCTTTGGTCGTTTATTACTCGATATGAATCAATATACAAAAGCGGAATCTTATTTTCAAATGATTCTCAAAGAATTACCACGAAATCATGTTGATTTACCATTCATTTACGATCATTTAGCTGATCTTTTTATGCAAAGCACTAATTGGAACGAAGCATTTCGTTATTTCAATCTCTCATTGAAATTCAAACAGAAACATTTGTCTTTGTATCAATCAACTATTTCCTTAACGTTCAATGGAATCGGCAATTATTACAAAGCTATTGGAAATCTTCATGAAGCAATGAAATACTATCTCGAAGCATTGAAGTATCATGATAAAAATAATCGAAATAATTTCGCAATTATTCTTAGTAATCTTTCCACAATTGATTTAAGAAATGAAAATTATGAAGAAGCTTTGAACAAATGTATCGCAGCTCGAGATCTTCTTTATGAAACTGATTCATCTCTATCGAATGAAATTTTACATTGTCAAGGAATTCTCGGTGATATTCATTTGGCGATGAAAAATTCTCTTTCTGCTGAACAATTTTATTTGGTAACATTCGAAATGAGTAAAATGATTTTATTTACCGGAGAAAATATCAAATTGAATTCAATAAAATCCTTAATTCATCTTTATAAACAAGAAAATGTTGAAAAAGCTTTGGAATATTCATTCAATCAACTTTCGTTTTATGAAACTAATCATTCTGAACGTGAATTGAGTATTGCAAATATTTGTTTAGAAATTAGTCAATTATATGATCCAATAAATTCACAACAAATCATTTACTTAGAAAAAGCGTGGAATATTTTTCAAAAGAATCTTCATATTCCATATTCATCAACAATTCAATGTTTGATTTTCATCGCAAATTATTATTTGAAAAACTCTTTCTTGGACAAATCGAGAAAATTTTATTTAAAAGCACTTCAGTTACAAAAATTTATTTATCCGGATGGTCATCCATCGATTCGTCAAACTCAAACTATGATTGACACTTTACATTTATCACTTTCATAACAATAATTATTGAAATAAAACATCGTCAAAAAGCGTGTCTTCTGTTTCTCTGAACATACCAATGTGAGATCCACATTTTAGCTGACAAGCTTTTTCATAAGCATCAAACACTTGAATATATCGATATAAGCGAGAATGCGTAATGGCTTCTGATAACCATAGTTAGATCCAAGATACCGTCCGAATATTCTTATTTCGCTTGAATTAGAAGAGTTTTATTGATGACTGTTTCTGCCTTCATTTTCATGTTGCGTGGTAATTACGAAAAAGTTGTCCGAATACATGTTTGATGTTCATTATTATTCGATTTGCTTTCTTGTCTGTGACTTTAACAGAGACACTTACTATCTGCTATTATCAAATTGATTCTGAATTGATGGTACGTTTTCCTTTGATTTTCAGGTACTGCAAGTAATTTCATTTAGTTACAAATATGAATAGAAATATAATCTCTTTTTTCTTTTCGAAAAAAAAAGATTATTTTCTTAAATGAAACAGATTAGAAAATCACAAATAAAATAATCAATTATTTAAAGATTAATTTGTATATTTTGATGATACTACAAAAATACTTTAAAATCGTCATCACACTGCACATATATATAAATAAAAAACTTCCTATTGATTGAATATTATTGAAATACAAGCTATGATAACTATATCAATAAATATTTGCTTTACACTCATTTTCTTATTCAGGTAATTGTAAAAAATAAATAATTCATTCGTTTAAATTTTTATCATTAATTTATAGTTTATCATTTTATGAAGTGAATAGTACTCTATGTTCTGATATATCTCAATATGGTCGATGTTCAACGAATAGTGCATGTGGTTGTTTTCCTATGATTGGTGCTGATAATGTTGGAATATGTGGTTTTCTTTGGGCAAGTTGTTCAACTCTTGATTTATGTGATTCTATAACTAATGCTTGTGCTAAAGATGAACATATTTGTATTCATCATTCACGATGTCATGCAAAACCTGTTTGTTATCCAGCATCAATGATTAGTTCACGAGTTTGTCCACCATTAGCAAGTAAGATGAATTAGATTAAAAATAAATCTTTATCAATATAAATTAATTCTTAACAAATAGCAACAAATACAACAACAACCAGTATAATTCCAACTACAACTACTGCTATAACAAAAAGTATAGATTTTTCTAGTTTTTAGATTATTAAAATAAACTTTATGTTTCTATTTAGGATGGTACAATACCAGTCAAATGCCTTCACTAGTAAGAGAACATGTAGCATCGATATTATTCGATGGAACAATTATGATTAGCGGTGGACGTGCTGGTCGCACAGCTATAACAAATAAAGTTATTTTATATGATCCAATAAATGAAACTTGGAATACCACAAGTAATATGCGAGATGCACGATATAAACATACAGCATCAGTCTTATTACATGGACAAGTTTTAGTTACAGGTGGATATAGTGATTCAAAAACTTTAGATAGTGTTGAATTATATGATCCATTAACAAGAAAGTGGTCATCAATTGATAGTTTGATAAATATACGAGGAAGTCATACAGGAACTATTTTAATAGATGGAAAAGTATTAATTGCAGGTGGATATAATCGAATTAATGGTTCTCTAGCTACTGCTGAATTGTATGATCCAAGATCAGGTACTTGGACAATTACTGGTAAAATGAAAATAGCACGAATGGACCATACAGCATGTCTTTTAAAAAATGGAAAAGTATTAGTGGCAGGAGGTTCGGATATTACTGCAGAATTATATGATCCAGTAACGGAACAATGGACTGAAACGGGTAGTATGAATACCTTACGCAAAGATCATACAATGACATTGTTGAATGATGGACAAGTATTAGTTACAGGTGGAAATAATTCCAGTAGTGCTGAATTATATGATCCAATAAGTGGAAATTGGTCCTATACTGATAGTATGCGTTACGTCAGAAAACAACATACAGCAACTCTATTACCTAATGGAAATGTCTTAGTTACAGGTGGATTTGATACTGATGCTACAAATCGAGTGGAAATTTATGATCCATTAATAAGAAAATGGACAACAACTTTTGAAAGAATGAATTATGAACGTTATATGCATACAGCATCATTATTACCTAATGGAAAAGTATTAATTGTTGGTGGATCTTCTAAGATTTATCATTGGGCTAATGCAGAATTATATTATTAATTTGAAATAAATAAAGAAAACTTTCATGATTTTAAAATCATTATTTTCTATACTTCTCTTATTTTTACCACTAGATTGATGATTAAATATAATGAGATACATATTCATCTAACATGAAACTTCTTTTATTAATCATAGAAGCATTGAATATTAACCTGTTAGTTAGTTTTTTAGTATCATTGATCAAATAGAAGGTCAAGCAATCCTTAACTTTGATTAAGTAATCTACGAATATGTTCATTTACTAAATAATTCTTTGTTTTAAAACATGTTAGTTATTCTGAATGGAAATTCACATGTTTTCCTTATGAAATCGAGATCTGTTAGCATTTGTGATCTTTTTGATAGATCACCTTTTCAGTTAGTAATCCTACTTTACTGCATATATAGGTAGAATACTAAAAGCTGTTTTTATTATCTATTAATTCGAGGAGATTCCTTACGTGGGACGTCTTAAATGAAAAACTACACTACTCAACGGTGTGCAGGCTTTCCGTTGACTCAATACATGTTAAGTTTGTCACACTGGATTTCGTTAATTGTTTACAAACATCATTATTTCCATGAAATATACCTCTCTTCTCATCTACCTGTATATTTCCGTAATCTTATTACAATTAATTAATTCTGCGACGAATCGTCCGTCCGCGGGCAACTGGTGCAAAAACGAGAGAGATAAAGACAGCCAAGCTATAGAATGTTAGTAGATACGGTGAGCTTTTGCGAGATAAGTGCAACACTAAATTCTGTGTGATAACGTATAACCATGCTGCATGCATTTCTGAATGAAAACATGGAAGTAGAAGTGATATTGTTTGACAAATTGCTAAACCATATTTTTCAACTTGGAAAATAAGTGCATTTGATGGAATGCAACATGCCTCTGATTTGCGCATGTTATCAATGGTTCAAAATTCGAAAATCATTCAACATCTATCACATGAGATAACATATTCAATATAGGTCAACATATGCGGTCAAAGGTGACACGAACATGTTCATAACCATCGTCTAAGCAAGAAAATCAATCGCACTGTTCGCTCACACAACTTGGTTCGGTATCAGTATGATATTTTCCCTTACAATGTCGAATATGAAAGAGAATGTTACCAGTATACTTGATCTACCAAATGAAATCTTACTTCATATATGTCGTTATCTTTCACAATCGCATATTCTTTATGCATTTTACACACCTTTAACACCAGAATATCGATTTCATTCAATTATTAGCGATTATTATGAAACAATTCGACTTGACCAACAAACATACTATGAATTTATTCATTTACGATCTTTATTTCTTTTTTCCGAACTACCTCTTCGACCTAAGTCATTAATACTAAGCAATAGACACGTCAATATTTTAATAGAACGTTTTTCTGATTCTGAATTCTTCTCGAATGATGTGTTGCAATCCATATTTTCAAATTTAACTCATCTCACCATACTCAACTATTCAGTAACTGATTTACACTTTATCGACGATCACATCAAGGAGTTAAAACAACTTGAATATTTCCACGTAAATATAATTCCATTCGATACTCAATCAGGTATTCAAATTGCGATAATTTGCTGTAGATTTTTTTGAAAAATCCGATGACTTTTTTCAGATGCTTATATGCTTTCTAAATGCAATCGATCGTTTACTGAAATAATATATCGCGTTAAAATGCCTCTTCTGCATACGTTTCGTTGTGAAACACCTAATGGACTTATATTACAAAAAGGTTCGGGAATTTATAAGAGTCTTCGAATTATTGATCTTGTCTTAGACACTATTGATGATCTATATATATTACTTGATGGAATAGCTCCAAACGCTGAAACCATGCTTATCAAATTATACCAGCCAAGAATACTAAGTATAACTCATATTGTGTGAATAAAAGATAAGAAATAATCGCAATAATTTCTATATTAAGCTCGTCCTCGTCCAAACGGTCGTTTATCCTGTCCTCGATTGACTCAATTTAGCTTCTTAGAATGCTCCATTGGGCTTTCTATTGATGATTTGAAAAGCATTTTTGTTTATATGAAGAATCTAAATCAATTAACATTAAGTATCCGCAATACGCCCGATCCAACCTTTTGTGATGGTTCAATCGTTGAATCTATCTTAAATAAATACCTTCCGTCTCTTCGCCAATTTCATTACACAATGACACATCAAATATCTGATCAAACAGTTCCGAAAGATTTTCTTCGGTGGCCAATGGTGATCAAAACTTATGGGGAACGGATACATATTTATTCGCTTCCGTGGCCATCGAATAAGTATGACAGACGAGAAATACCCGCTGAAAGTGAAGCAACTGATCTTAACCATTCAAAGTACAAGAAACATCTTTTAGTGACTAATAATACACAGTTTCATCAATTCAACAAATATTTTGCTCATGTTGATCAAATTACAACTAGTTTACCGCTTCATATTCAACTTCCATGGCATGTAACAAAGTTAATTCTCTCTGCAAACACATCTATAAATGTTTGGATAAGCAATGCAGTTGTTCAACCTTCTATTCGTCATTTTATCGCTAAATCTAATGTCATCGATGAGAAACAAATGTTAATATTAATTCAAAAATTTCCGCGGGTTAAATATTTAGAATTATTATTGTCATCCGATATGATACCATTTATACGATGTTGGAATATTCTATTTAATCGGAAGGATAATACTAGAAAATATTGTAGTGATTGGCCTAATTTAATTATCTTTTCCACAGCTGTGAGTAGGGAACAAAGATATTTCTTAACAGCGACAAGTTACAGTTTTGAATGGTTTATTCGAAACACAGATCTCAAATATTACACTGATCGATTTTTCTTCGATGAAAATAATTCAAAAATTACTATTTGGTTCTGATTTTCTTCCCGAGAATGTTCGGAAATAAAGATATGTACATGTATATGTATGTTGACAATAGTGTAAATATTGTCTCTTCGTCCTCACAAGAGGTATACTTCTGCTTATGATCTTTTTTAAGCGGAATAAATTTACGTTATGCGCTGTATCAATGGTAATTCTTAGTTGCTAAATAATGACTCAGAAGGCACACCCTCATAGAGGACCTTTCGACAATGACGAAGTGTGGGATAAATAACGACACAGAATAGAAAAGAAAAACGACGATGTTTTTTATTTGTTTTTGCTGTACGCATTTTGAAGGACATTTATTTATACTTTGTATATGAAAAAAGAACAATATTATGGGGAAATTATCAAAGTAGAAAAAAAAACATAAAAAAGAATGATATCCTACGTACAAAATCGAACTATGAAATAAGAGCAATGAGTATGGCATTACTACATTGTTAATTAGTCAGCTAAAAGGAAACAGTCATCTGTGAAATCTCGGTTTTATTGGCATCTCATACTATTTTGGATAATTCGAAATATGACAATGAAATCCAACCGTCACCTTTTGATTGTTACTATTTATCTTACTCTCATTGTGTGTCTGGTCATCGGTGCTCCTTCTGCATCGAAGGGCGATAAAACTGTTCCGTCTCATCTGAACAAGTCGAATCTGTTTTATCGTGGAATTTATAAGACAACAATTCAAGCTCTCGGACAAGACTATGCTAAAGGAAAATCACCAATAGGTCACACAAAGGATGCAGGTGATTTTGCTCCTGAAGGCATGGGTGCCTTCTATGTGTTTGACGTGAGTTTTTCTTCAGTTCGATATCGATTGTTTATTTGCATTTCTCTATAGAATGAACAAGAAGCACAAGATTGGGGTCGTTGTCATACAGAGGGCACAGCCATTAAGACGTACGTTGTAGTCACTTACCAGTATACACCCAAAGCAGGCTTGAAGACAAAATCCTTTACCAGTGCCGACAACAACTGGCTCAGCGTAGGTGCATGTGCTTTCTTTTTAACATGTAAATCTTTTTCGTTGTCGGTTTAGTTCGTAGAGAGCAACTATGCGTCGACTACAAAAACAAGTCCGTATGACATTGTGGAAGGACCAATATCGGCACCTTTCAGAGATAGTAATGGTAAAAAGATCAAAGTTGCATATACTAAAAATGGCAAACTCGTCTGGCAAGGTGCTTTCATTACTCCAGCTGCTTTGAAAACGCTCGTTGTAGCCGATATCAAACAGTATTCGGTAGCTAGCAAAAAAGGTTCAAGCTCGTGCATTATCCAATAGAAATAACGTTACATTCTTTTTTTTATTGTACCATTCATGTATTTTGTTAATAAGTTTTTTGGTGATGGTGAAATAAAATCTTTTTATTACGTCTTTAATTATAAGTTCTGTTTTGCACGTGATTTCGAATGTCAGACCTCAAAGAGGAGGTTGCTTGTAGTTTTATACGAATATTTTTTTCACGGGCTAATCTGCTCGTAAGTCGTTTCTATTCATTACAACGCATGTCCAACAAAACTCGTACAGTATGCGTTCCAGTATCTGCAATAACTGGATCATCCTTTCCATCGTTGTTCAAATCAGCGACTTTGATAGATTGTGCACAATCGTTGAGCATTTCTTCATTTATGCTAAATGATAAATAATTTCGATTGAATAAATCGCTACTTGTTCCAAGAAAAATGTTGATTGTTTCACTACAGTGCAACACAGCTATATCATCGATTTGGTCATTATTGAAGTTGATTTTGGCAACAGATGTCGGATGGTGACTGGTGAGATAAGTTTGCTGAATAAATTGTTGATCATCAGAAGCGAGTAGAATTTGTAATGTATCTGACAGAGATGATACCATTGCTAAATCATCATAGTCATCCTCATTGAATCTTGCAGTTATCAACGAGAATGGGTCTTCATACATACGATTTTGGGTTATCTGATATCCATTTCTAATATTCTTGAAGTTCAATAAATAAAATGTTACTACACCACCATAGATATTGCATGTACTGAAATCATTCCGGTTGCCATCATGATCAAAATCACCAATGGTTATAGAGACAATATTTGACACGATGGTACATAGTATATCGCACTGTTTAATAAACGTTTGTCCATCAATATACTTAAAAAAAGATAATAAATCTTATCGCGGACTTGTTTGTGAGACGATATTGATTAGTGACAATCAAATCGAAAAGAACATTTCCATCAAAATCAGCCGACTCAATTACACCAGGTGCATTTTTATGAAGATCCAATACAAATTTACTGTCTAATGAGAATACTGAGCCATTCGATTGTTCATTGAAGAGCAGAACTATTTGACCTGCTCCAGGTAAACTCACAGCTAGAAATATACAAAACAGTCATATATCTGTTTTCGAAGAACTTTCCAATATACAGATCAAATGAGGTTTTATAAAACCATTGGGATATCAAAAGTTGACTCAAACTTGTTTCAATTCGTATATCTAGTTTAGTTATTTGAATGTCTCTTAGAATTTGAAGTGAAACAGGTTTAGTACAAGAGATACCTGCTTGCATAAGATCTAAACATGTTTGATTGTAAAGACATGCGAAAGTCGATTGAAGAAACGCATCGAGATACAAACAAACAGTGCGAAAGCCCGAGTTAACAGATCCAATGCGAGTGCAGGGTCAAAAATAGTATTGGATTGAATCGATGGATCTTGAAGAACAAGTTGCCAATTGATTTCCTTCATTGATCAACAAGATCAATTCTAAAGTCTGCATGAAGTCATCGGCTATGGTATTCTTGAATTGATTGAACAATGTGTCCGTTTGGACTTGAAATTCAGTCGGAGAAAGAACTTGTCGAGTGAAAAAATCTGTTTGTTCGAAACTGGTCAGTGATAAATTGCATAGGATTGACACAACCTCAAACTGAAAAGCAATGTTATTCCGGTAATCTTCGCCGAAGGCATATCCCGATATTATTTGGGCTATGTGTCTCAAGACTTCACGCCATTCCGATGAAATAAAAACACTCGAACAGATCTCGTGATATGTTGGTTGCAGTTGTGAAATAAATTGTTGACATTTTATCGCAATATGAGTGCAGCGGCATTGTATAGTCAATGGATATTGAGCATACAATTCTTTATATTCGAACACACTCGGCGATTGGATAACAGATACCATTGTTTGTTGCTTTAATGAAGTGCATAGAAGTAGAACAAATAAAATCGTAATTAGATTTCGACGAATAGTTTTCGCATTTTGTCAGGATGAAATATCACGAAAGAGATTTAATTCGATGATACTTCGTCGAGTAAATGCACATGAAGAACAAATTCCTCTCGAACTTTGCGACTGATGAGTAAAATAATTTCGTATATTGAATACCGATGAAAATATAATCGGTAGTAATAAATGTAGGATAGTGTTTAATCCGCCAATTAAACCAAGAATGGTTGTGATGATATAAACCATTTCCAAGTGACTTTCAATGAGATATTCACATATCCATGGTTGGCATTGATTAAAATATAATTGATACGAACTTTCATTAGTCCATGATTGTACGAATAAATCGTTTGTTAAAGATTCAATCGAAACGTTGTTCGAAGATGTTGATAGTTGAGGTTTTGTGAAATTTGATTCAGTTAAAGTTGAATCAATAAATTGTTGAATATGAGAAACACATGTTTGATTATACAAACGTTCTAAGTTTGACATATGAGGACTGACTGAAAAGGAAACCATGTGTGAAACATTCCTGGAATAGTAAAACTGTCATTAATCATCGTTTTCATGATGCATTTATCATTAATAGACAAGGGATCGCAACGACATTTCAAAGCGAAGTTACGTAAATCTGGATAATCGACTTCATCATATAATGGATAGGTATTTAAGGTCACACCACAGATTTGCTCGCCATAGAAATCTTTCGCGAGGTAAAAAGCGGTATTTGTCGACGTAATGAATTGATTGATTTCCATATGTGATCCGATTAGTTGAATAAGCGTCCGAAATAGTTCTCTTGTTGTCTTTAGAAATTTTTCGAAAATTAAATTAATATGTAGCTGAAAGGATGGATAACTGAGTAGTTGAGAAGTAAGAAATTCTTTTTGATAGAACGAATCGAGAGATTCAATGACTGTTGATTGAGATGCTTGACAAAGAGTTGACAGCAGTTGAAAATGAAATTTCGATTGACTACGAAAATCATGTGTAGCAAGGGTTTCTGATATTGATCCATTCAGACGATATGAATTTACTTGAGCAGATCTCGTGATATTTAGATCGAATAGAAGAAATAAACTGAGAATATTTGATTGAATTTTGTGAACATGGGCAATTTAGTGTCGATGAATATTACGGTTATAAAGCTGGAAATAGTCTTCTAATGATGGTGATTTATGTGTGATTGTGGTTAAGGATATTCTAGTGAAGTTGAATGATGTCAAAATGATAAAACTAATGAATAATAAAAGTAATTGAACTCGTGTTGTTACACATTCTTGTTTGAGAATAATTTCATTTTCCGCTCGAGGCATTTTCTCAAAGAGATTCAATTGCGTTAACTTTTGTTTACACGAAGAGAAGAATCCGATGATACAATTGTGTAGAGAGGGTTTCGAAGGGTTTGATTGCTTTCGAACGATGAGATTCTCTACTATTCCAACAAGTATCGATGCGAAGATCCGAATCGTTGAAGCCAATCCGCTGAATAAGCCAGTCAACAATGTCATAATATGCAAAAATGGATATTTCTCATTGACTGTATATTGCCATTGATTAGGAGAACATTGATTATAATATTGTCAATATGATGTTTGATTTAACCATTGTAAGATAAACAATTGACTGAGTAATGTTTCAATAGTTGAAGAAAAGATGGATGAGTTCAGTTGTCGAAATATATGAGAAGAATTTGTAAGAATATCAATAAATGTTTGGTTCAGAAATGCTTCGAGTGTGGATTGAAGAAGAGCACTGACCGTATAACATCCTGTTTGAAATCCAGGGATGATTTCATTTTGGAATGAAGTTGGACCAAGACAATCAGTCGATGTGGAACTTGAACAGATACAAGTGGATCCATCTGTAAATGTGTAATTAATTCCGGGAAAAGGTGTAGAATATTCCAAGAATGGTTGATAAGCAAGAACAGGCCGAACACTGATGACTGAAGCACCAGTCATGAATAAACTTTGTGCAGTGATGTTTTGAATGAAATGTAATTTTCTCAAAATTGTTTTCGATAGAAGACGAATGAATTCGGTCGTCAATGTATTGATTTGAAGTTGAAAAGAGTACTGAAAAACAAGTTTTGATTGAACAAATTCGGTTAAATAGAAGGTTTCGAGTGCATCATTGATGGTATTTTGTACTAAGGAACAAATCGATCGGAGGGTTTGAAACTGCAATGCACCTATACGACGAAAATCGGTAATTGATGAAACATCCCAACTTTGTTCATAGAGTATAAACAGATAATTAATCCATTCGTCAGCCACTAGATCGCTTCCACATAATTCATTGTAAACAATTTTGATTTCAAGAAATTCTCTGTATTTAATACCAATTTTCGAACAAGAAGATTTTAATGTTGGGTACAATGATAATGTCGAATATTCTTCAAATGATAGAATTTTTCTCATATATGTTTCAGTGAACGATGCGATCGAGTAGTAAAATGTAAGAATAATAAGAGATACCCCCCGAAGAATAACATACACTCGCGATGAGTATCGTTCCTGTTGAATTTGTTTCACATCAATCGTCCCTGTTTTGTACACATTTAGTTCCAGTAGAAAAGGTTTTAGGTTTACGAAAAAAGAACAAAGGAAAGTGTACAGCGGCATTCTCTTTCTGTAGTACTTCGTAAACTGAGTTACTCGTAGAGGAAGAACAACACAATTAAAAAAAAACACGGTATGATGGAGTGAGCGCATCGATGTTCTAGGAAGAAAAAAAACCTTTTAACTTAAGGTTTTTCAGTGAAGTTTTCGTCGAAAGAGAGCGTAGATTGAGGAAACAATATATTGAAAAGAAAACTTATATGCTTTCTCTGTTTATTAAAAGACATTCAGCATTTTAAAATGAACAGTCATTCCAATATATGCGCATACAAAGTTCAAATATTGATTTCTCCTTTTAAATATGTAACCGCTTTGCCAGAAAGCAACACTCGATCATCTTTATATTCCAACCAAAGTTCTCCCTTACGCGCCGAAATCTGGTAAGCGTGCAGTTGATTTTTACCTAATCGTTCAGACCAGAAAGGAGTCAAAGTGCAATGAGCTGAACCACAAACGGGATCTTCGGGAACGCCGGCGTTAGGAGCAAAAAATCGTGAAACAAAATCTACTTCGTCACCAGGAGCTGTGACAATCACAGCAAAAGCATCATCGATTTTGCTCAATGCAGTGAAGTTCGGCGACAACTGTTTGACGTCGGCCTCGTTTTCATAAACGAGCAAGTAGTCCCTTGCCTTATAAACACCAATTGGAGCCTTTTCACTTTGTAGCGCTGACAACATGCCAGTTGGCAAATCGACTTTGGTAGCTGGGCGAGCTGGAAAATCGAGGGTATATAAATCATTTTCTTTTTGTCGGTATACTATGAGTTCACCAGCCTTCTTCGTCTGAAAGTTGATCTCCTGTTTCATGGGAGACATTTCAATGAAAATTACATGTGCTGTCGCTAAGGTCGCATGACCACATAAGTCTATTTCCACCGTAGGTGTAAACCAGCGAAGTTCGTATGTGTTGTCACTGGAAGTAGGTACAAAGAAAGCTGTTTCGGACAGATTGTTTTCAGCAGCAATATTTTGCATCACTGCATCGGGTAACCACTTATCTAGTGGACATACAGCTGCCGGATTACCGCCAAACAATTGATCAGTGAATGCATCGACTTGGTATATTTTAATACTCGTCATTTCAAGTTATATCGTGTGACCTAGAAAAGTGAACTCTATCTTACATATTTAGTACAAATAAATTTAAAATGTATCAAAGAAAATGCATGGGTGTCTTTCTACATTCAAATACGAATCTTTATTATTTTGCTACAGCGGTATCAGTCACGTTCTCTCTTATCTACCTCTCCAATCTTCGATATAGCTTACAATGCAAAAATCTGTGATACTCCAGGAGGTATATCGTGATGCAGTAACACAATTTGCTTTTTTTTCTCTCGTTCTGTTCTTATGAAGAGTGACAATGAAATGCACTCATTCTGTTTAAATTACAAGTTACAGAGACGAATCGCTTGCTATTAATTATTGGTATGACTGATCTTCAGTAGCCGATGAATAACTACCCAGGTCGAACAATCCCATAATCGAATCTCGTCGGATCCGAAACATGGATTTCCTAAGGGTCATCATAGAACATAGCTAAAAGGATCGCTCATAAAATTTGCAACAACCGACGGGATTTTTCTGGTCGGATTTGTTGACCTGGGCGATGAGTCCCTTAAGCAAGGACGAAACGCGTCGTGAGTGCTTGGAACTGTTTATATATTTTTGTAAACTCACCCACACCCACCCCACCCTTCGTACTTTTGAAAACTGTTGAGATGAAACTATTGATCATTCCACCATCGACGATGATTGAATGAACAAGGATCCTAAACTTTGATAAACAAAAACTCTTTTTTTTGCGAATAACAGATCATGTCAGACACCCCTAATTGCATCAACGATTTTTCCATTTAGGAAATATCTATAAACGCTTGTAGATCTATGGTAAGTTTTTAAAAAAAGAGAAGGTTTTTGTATATTGCTGTTTTCTTTACACTATACGTTAAATGTGATTGACGTCAATGATATTGCAACATAGAAGAGTAGAAATAAATGATAATTAGTATGATATATGTAGGCACAGAAAAAGCCTGTCACAATATGCTATTCTATTTTTTATCATTCTTTGTTTCTCTCAAGATCGCCTTCCGCTAGTAACCAGCGAAACTCTTATCAGTTTCATTATTTTCTTTTGAAAGTTAAAAAAATCATTATATTTACTCCAGTTGCATTTCTCTCTCTCTCTCTTTTCTGCAACATTATAGCGTCTTCTATGTATCCATACACTTTCACTATCTCACTTCTTACATTCACAAAATGATGTCAGTAAAGTATTTGATTTTCATAATCATATTATCTGCGATCATCGCATTAGGACGAATCAATCTTTATCTGTCAGATGAAATTCACGGGAATTCTGATGACGTTGTTCAGCAAAATAATTGCCTTTATTTTGATTTAAGTGAAGATGAACGAACTCGTGAAATTATTCCTTATTGTATAAGTGAATCACCATCGATGTGGGCTATTGAGTCAACGAATTTTGGCGGACGATTTACTTATGCCGACCTTAATCGACAAAATGTTACCAGTGAACAATTATATCAATGGTCAACACCGATTGATATTTGTGAACGTTATGAATATTATTTAGCCCTGTTTCTATTGGGGTATGATACATCAAAAATCGAAGGAGAAATATTTTACAACTGCACATTTCCAATATTCGGTCCACAATGTCAATATCAATTGGACTTCAATGGCTGGAACATGACATTAAATGATATGATCCGTAGTTACTATAGTCAACAACGTTATGGAGAAGAACTATTGACTTGTTATACACATTTGCAATGTAATCGTGGTTCGATCCCTGTTTGTCTTGATTGGACGGAAATATGTGATGAGAAGATCGATTGTATGGATGAAGTTGATGAGAAAGATTGTTGGCCACTGATGTATGATCGATGTGATAATGGTCAATGTGTTCCATCGAGATTCGTCAGAAATGTTCCGCATTTCGAAGATCTTGATCGATCTGATGAATTGGGAAATGAATATAATGCACCAACCGTATTAAATGAAGATACCGTCTGTTCATGGCGTGAACGTAGTGGAAAGCAATTTCTTTTTCCTCATACAAGTTCATGCCGAGCTCAACGTCAGAAAACAATCGAACAAGCCATGTTTGCCGACAAATTAGAGTTAAGCCTAGGTGACAAATGCTTTTTGGCATTTCAATGTTATTCAAACATTTCCGCGGATAACGATCTACGATGTGCGACTTTTTGTCAAAATGAAACATGTACCAGAATTATTAAGGATATGTGTCCAGCTATCGTGTATTATCCATCGGTTCCGATTGCCTTTGGTCATATTTACTTTGCTTATACCATCGAATATATCATGCATCGGAAAGGTCGAGAACAACTTTTTCCTGAATATATATGCTACAATGACCAGCTTTGTGGCGGATTTTCTTTAAATGCAACGGTAATACGGTTGCGAAATAGTACATGTCGTCATCCTGAAGATTTTCCACTATCGGTTTCCTACAATGGTATCGACTGGCATTCTACATATATCCAGCTAATATACACACAGCTTGGTCATTGTAGTCAGCCGCGAATGTATCATAATTTCATATGTGATAGTTCCAATATGTATCAATGTAAGAACTCTTCGAAATGTATTCCGATTTCATATGTCGGTGATGGTATTCGAGATTGTGATTATTATGATGATGAAGACCAAAGTACGATCGATCAGCAATGTCCGACAGGTCAAACCAAAAGATTCTTCTACTGTCGAACAAACAAGAAGTGTATACACCGAAATCAAGTGAAAGATGGCATCTGTGATTGTCCAATGGATGAGTATGGCATGTGTGATGATGAAAAACGAGACTTTCATCAGCTTCAACAAGCAATCATTTTTGCAGAGATTTGTGATCGATCTTTTGATCTTCGACCGATGATCATCAATGGACAATCTCATACAGATGAAACCAATTGTGAACATTGGCCATGTAATAATACTTATACGAGATGTGATGGTTTTTGGACTTGTCCTGATGGAGCAGATGAAGTCGACTGTCATCGAAAGCGCACTCATTACTGTCCACATTATCATCACAGATGTATTTCGGCAAGCACATATCAGTGGATATGTCTGCCTATTGACAAAGCCAATGATGGTCGCATAGATTGCTTAGGCGGTATCGATGAACCAATGTTATGTCCAGTGAAAAACCGTCAAGAAAAGTCGAAATTCTATTGCAAAAGTGTTCATTCAGGTATATGTCTATCAGCGCAACATGTATGTGATAAAGTAATCCACTGTGAAAATGGTGACGACGAACGATTGTGTAATACAACTATGTATAATTCCTTATGGAATAATTTACTAAGTTCAAATAGAAATTTCGACGAATCGATTCTATCGAAATCAGCAAGCGCTCAATTAAGCAAATCGAAAGGTAAGAAAATCACTGCGCAATTTATGTCGATGATCAGCAAGGATAAAAATTATTGTAATCGTGGTTTGCCTTTACGAGTCGTATTGAACAGTCAGACAAATGTAACTCGACAATCATGTCTTTGTCCGCCGAGTTATTATGGTGATTATTGTCAATATCAAAGCCAACGGGTTAGTATTACTATGAACATCACTGCACCTGCAAGATCTCGACAAACATTATTTGTTCTGGTCGTTTTATTACTTGACGATACTTCACAACGACTGGCCCATTCATATGAACAACTATCGTATTTACATGTGCGCGATAAAGATGTTCAATACAATTTCTATTTACTTTATTCAACTCGACCAAAAGATGCAATAAAACAATATTTCATACATATTGACATCTATGAAAAGACTACGTTGCATTACAAAGGAAGCAAATTAATTCGATTACAACGACCATTCTTACCTGTCGAACGTGTTCTTATTCGATTGAATATTCCACATATACACAATATCATCCAAACATGTTCGAATGAGCAACATGGTTATGGCCACTGCTTGCGATACTTAGATGATCCAAGCAATGCAACGTTTTATCAATGTGATCAAGGTTGGATTGGACGAAATTGCAATATCCGATATAATGGCACTTGTCGGTCTGATTCGTTGTGTGCTGGCGCGACAACCACTTATCGATCAATATGTGTCTGTCCGTCGCACAAATTTGGTTCTCAATGCTTTTTGACGAAAAATTCATGTCAACATAACCCATGTTCGAACAGAAGCGTTTGTATACCAGCTGATGAACGCAGTACATCTCAACCATCATATGTATGCATTTGTCCCGAAGGATTTCATGGAGAAAGATGTGAAATACCTGATTACCAAATTATTTTGATTCTTCAAAATAACCTTACTTTTCCTTCGCAACAATTCGTACATTTCTATTTCATATATTTTTTTCCGAATGGTAAATCTATGTACAGCAAAAAATCGACGAGAATCTGTGTGAATCAAACGTCAGTTATTGGCTATTCATCATATCCATTACATATTACGCTAGTCGAACTTGCTGCAAATCAGTACTACTTGATGTCGAATAAAAAAGGCGAGTCTCCAGTAGCTCTTGTGTACCAGATTAATCTATCCAATCGCTGTCGATCTATCAGTGAAATATTTTCGGACAACATTACTCGGATGCCTGTCATTCAACGTCTTAAATATTACCATTTGCCATGTCAAAATCGTTCATTGAATTTATCTTGCTTTTACGATGAAGTGCATATGTGCTTGTGTTCGGATTTTGGTGATTCACGTTTAGCGAATTGTCACCAATTCAAGCAATTTCCTTATATCGGAGACTTGGATTTGCTATATCATCCATCCGAACGTGTTTGTCCAGAAGATTATTTATCGAATTCATCCTTGATATCGATGGGTAATTACATGCCATGCATGTATATTGGTGAACGTTTTCTCTATGTATTCATCTTGCTGTTTTACTTACATATTTTTCATCGTATACAATGAAAATGCATGACTAAACTAAAGCAAACTACTAAGACATTTTTCGATCTTGCTTAATCCTATTTTCGCTTATAAATGATTGGAAAAACAGATTAGTTTGTTTCTGTCTAAGAAAAGTTAGTTCATTCTGCTGGATTTCAACTTTTGCTTTTCAGCAATCGACTTTCTGTGCAAAACAAGTATCGCTCATCCTTTGCATCCGCTCACCCTTTTCTGAAAGAATTATCCCAGTGCTGACCACATTCAAACACTTTGAAAGACAACTTAGGCACTGCGATTGCTACTAATCAGAGGTAGGACACGTACACGTACACAAAGTACACGTACAAGTACTTGTACGTGCATGGATATACCTGTACTTCTACTTGTACTTGCCAGACAATACTTGTACTTGTACTTGTAATTCTACTTCCAGTGGAGTACTTTATACCTGTATTTCAACCTCCGAAGTGATACAAAAATCAACCAATGGGATTACTGGAGTCATTTGCCCATTTTCTTCGCTATTCTCAAAGAGAAGCCCTTAGTTACCTGTACCAATGTTGGGGTAATCGAGTACGGTCTATCANATTTATCTTTATAAACCGGAAAATGTCGAAAAAGCTTTGGAATATTCATTCAATCAACTTTCGTTTTATGAAACTAATCATCCTGAACGTGAATTGAGTATTGCAAATATTTGTTTAGAAATTAGTCAATTATATGATCCAATAAATTCACAACGAATCTTTTACTTAGAAAAAGCGTGGAATATTTTTCAAAAGAATCTTCATATTCCATATTCATTAACAATTCAATGTTTGATTTTCATCGCAAATTATTATTTGAAAAACTCTTTCTTGGACAAATCGAGAAAATTTTATTTAAAAGCACTTCAGTTACAAAAATTTATTTATCCAGATGGTCATCCATCGATTCGTCAAACTCAAACGATGATTGACACCTTACATTTATCACCTTCGTAACCATAATTATTGAAATAAAACATCGTCAAAAAAGCGTGTCTTCTGTTTTTCAGACATATTGCATCACCATTCACGTTCTCTGAACATACCAATGGAAGTTCCACATTCTAGCTAACAAGCTTTTCCATAAGCATCAAACACCTGGATATATCGATATAAGCGAGAATGCGTAATAGCTTCTGATAACCATAGTTAGATCCAAGATACCGTCCAAATATTCTTATTTCGCTTGAATTAGAAGAATCTCATTGATGACTGTTTTTGCCTTCATTTTCACGTTGCGTGGTAATTACGAAAAAGTTGTCAGAATACATACTTGATGTTCATATTATTCGATTTGCTTTCTTGTCTGCGACTTTAACAGAGACACTTACTATCAGCTATTATCAAATTGATTCTGAATTGATGGTACATTTTCCTTTGATTTTCAGGTACTGCAAGTAATTTCTTTTTTTCTTTTCGAAAAAAAAAGATTATTTTCTTAAATGAAACAGATTAGAAAATGACAAATCAAATAATCAATTATTTAAAGATTAATTTGTATATTTTGATGATACTACAAAAATACTTTAAAATCATCATCACACTGCACATATATAAAAATAAAAAACTTCCTATTGATTGAATATTACTGAAATACAAGCTATGATAACTATATCAATAAATATTTGCTTTATACTGATTTTCTTATTCAGGTAATTGTAAAAAATAAATAACTCATTCGTTTAAATTTTTATCGTTAATTTATAGTTTATCATTCTATGAAGTGAATAGTACTCTGTGTTCTGATATATCTCAATATGGTCGATGTTCAACGAATAGTGCTTGTGGTTGTTTTCCTATGAGTGGTGCTGATAATGTTGGAATATGTGGTTTTCTTTGGACAAGTTGTTCAACTCTTGATCTATGTGATTCTGTAACTAATGCTTGTGCTAAAGATGAACATATTTGTATTCATCATCCACGATGTCATGTAAAACCTGTTTGTTATCCAGCATCAATGATTAGTTCACGAGTTTGTCCACCACTAGCAAGTAAGATGAATTAGATTAAAAATAAATCTTCATCAATATGAATTAATTCTTAACAAATACAACGACAACCAGTATAATTCCAACTACAAGTACTGCTATGACAAAAAGTATAGATTTTTCTAGTTTTTAGATTATTAAAATAAACTTTATGTTTCTATTTAGGATGGTACAATATTAGTCAAATGCCTTCACTAGTAAGAGAACATGTAGCATCGATATTATTCGATGGAACAATTATGATTAGCGGTGGACGTGCTGGTCGCACTGCTATAACAAATAAAGTTATTTTATATGATCCAATAAATGAAACTTGGAATACCACAAGTAATATGCGAGATGCACGATATAAACATACAGCATCAGTCTTATTACATGGACAAGTTTTAGTTACAGGTGGATATANAGGGCGAGAAATCGGAGCTATTGTGCCAACAACCTTTCTATCCGATGCCATTCAAGAGTTACTTGAATTTATAATTAATCAGGTTTATGCAGCATTTGGAGGACCAGGAGGGAAAAAGCTCAGTAGCTGGAAAAACATTTTAATTGAACTGTGCTTATTCATCCTTAAATGGATTCTCCTTCTCCTTGTTCAAAATCTTATTAAGCTATTGGAATCTGGTTATCCATTGATCGCTTTGCTTTTACGCATAACACCTTTTTTCATCAGGTATATTATTAATCAACTGCGTAACACAGTATGCAAGTGACCCAATTATACTCAGGCAAACATAAAAAGTTGTATTTTTTAACGAACTTTATTGAAAAAAAATTAATGATCTTATAACAACACTTAGCCACATATTGAATAACGTCTCATTTATGTTCTTGAAATACTTTCTCTTTAAGGAATAGCAATATGTGTCACCTATCTACACCTCACTCTTCAATAATTCAGATTTGAAGAGATTATGAGTTATGATGTCAATAGTACCTACTGTGTTTGGTTACTCTATATGCTATTAAAAGAATGTATTAACATCAATAGAATAATTAAGCAACAACATAAACTTTGTTTTAATCAAGAATTGATGTAAAAATAGCAAAAGAGTTTTCATAGTTTTAATCTACTCAACGGCATCGGAAAATACGTTTTAATTCTGTACGAAAATTCTTTGATATAAGGATATTTGCGTAACAACTGATGCTCGAGTCAATAAAACCTGTGAAATATGTTATATTTGCAATGAATTGTTCAATTGATATTTGCGCATCACTCTTCGTTTCATGTTGAGTAATTTGTTGATAAATAAGAAAAATTGTAGATGGAAATCTTGAAATAAGATAAATCATAATTTCCATGAATACTATTCGAATAAGTTGACGATCTTTTGAATGAATTGCGTGTGGTCTACCTGCTGCTATTGTTTCAATTATTGATGTATGAGAATGATGTCTAACTTGAGAGACTTGACGAATATTTCTTAATGTTAAAAATCCAAATATTCCCATTAATACCGGTGGAGTAATTCCAACAATGAAAAGTGAATAAAAGGTTATGAATGCTGTATATAATCCTGCTTGATAATAACATAAAAAGTAATTTGGTGCAATTTGTATGATGTTTATATAGATAAATATATGAATTTGAAATAATGCCCAAAACAAAATTGAACTGATCAGACATAGAAGAACTAAACGTCTTGTACTTCGTTTTCGTATTCCTGCATTTCGAGAAGTGACTAATGTTCGCTCAATTGATGTGATAATTAGATAAGTTGGACCTAGAATACTAAGAATAAAATCAACATAATAAAAACATCGACAGAAAACAATATTGCTTGTTCCAGGATTGATATTAAAACCACTTTGAAGTATTGTTGGAAGCAAACCTAAATAAAGGTATAATAAATCAACAGTGCTAATACCCACAAAGCACATTGCACAAGGATTTTTTCGTAAAGAGTTGCTCGTAAATACTATTAAATTTAATATACAACTTAAACTACCGATAGCTAATAATATTATACCAGCAATTTGAAATAATGATGATAATATTGACATTTTACCGTAAATTATTTCTACTAACAATCATGTAGTTACTTAGTATAGATTTTATAGAAGATGTAAAAGTCAAAATGTAGGATGAATAAGTAAGGTTGATTAACAAAGAACATTGCATTCTATAGAGAAAAAAACGCAAATTGACCTATTTATACGTTGAAATAGTCAGATCTAGTTATTAAAATTACTTATAAACAATTTCTATTGAAATGCCAAAAATATATTTTTCTGTCCTTTATCTGCTACACTTTACATAATTACATTCTAATACTTATGAACTTGAGAGAGTTGATAAATCATTGTTTCCAGTTGGACATTTTTCTTAAATAAAGCAGTTCCCCAGGTGCATCAATCCGACAATCTGGCCGCCGATTGTGATTTTTTGAAAAATAGGAATCCTTATAGGGCTGCTTTCTTTCGAAAAAAAGGATTTTCCGTCAAAAAATAGGATAGCATCTTTAAATTAAAAGGTACGTTTTGTCGATTTGTCCTACTGAAAATCTAAAAAATATACTTAGGATATCTCAAGGGGGAATAAACTGATTTCCAGCTCAGAAATCACTTGAAATCAAATGAAATCACAGAAATCAAATGAAATCACGGAAATCAAATGAAATCATTGAAATCAAATGAAATCAAATGAAATCACAGAAATCAAATGAAATCACTTGAAATCACCGGAAATCAATGGATATTCCTTCCGATAATAAGTTTGAATATTTCATTAACTCTTTTGATATCAAATACAGAATAAGAAAATATTGCAAATCTATCTGAGTTTGATGATCTCGACGTGCGAAAACATGATGCTTGAGTAATGTAACATGAAGGTAATGTTTCTCTTACATGAGTTATACATTTTCAACTGTTCATAACCATTGTTTTGCGATGTAATTTGAAAGCAGGCTCATGCAAATCATCCATAAGTATCATAAAACCACAAATAGACATTATTATTCAAGCTTGACAGTTCACGTGTTTTTTTTTCATTCTGTTCGCATGTATTTTCCATATAATTGTTTAACAGCCAGAAATTTGTTCATCGTCATTTATATCTTCGCTAACGGACAATCGTCATCCTTCTACCCGCTTCACATCGCTCGTTTGTATCATCAACTCACATTAAATATGTCGAAGAAAAGCAACAATTTACCATACGATGTCATTGAACTCGAAAACGAACCATTTTACCAATTTGTAAAGAAATTTGCAGGCGACAAGGTTGTATCGCTTCTTCAGTTTCAAGATATCGATAACGTTGAATGCCTTATGGCATGTAGCGATCCGTTTGAGATTTTATCGTACGATTCAGATGATCTACTTGACCTGAAAAAGAAAACCTGTTTGAAATTGAAAACAAATTCACATGTTGTTTTACCAGGGATCAAAAGCAAAATGAAACTTTTGAAAAAAGCATTAACAAGGAAATATGACGAAATCAAAAACGTAACAACAACTTTTTCTAATCAATCTATGTCGATGGACACATCTTTTACTAACTCAACAGGTAATTATTTCGATACTTTTACAAATTCATTCACGTGTACAAATTAGTAGATAATGCTCTTCCAAACACTACCAGCTCAACTTTAGAAGAGAATGTTAAAATCCATTTGATTAATTCAATGAAAGAGTGGTGTCGAAAAACGAAACAGGATAATGCACAACGAACTTTGGATATGGTAGAAGGAACAGATTATGAAATTGTTGTTGATTGTACGTCGAACAAAGTTTACATTAAATGTCAATGTGGTAAAACTTCGACATTAGGACAAAAGAACAATTTGTTTATAGTAAGTCATTTAACTCTGATGAGTATAGCTTCAGAAGGATAGTTAGACATAGGTTTGCGAACTCTAGGATTTTTGACGTAGAGAATAACGAATATTCAGTTTTTGTACTTGTCTTTGAATGAACATCACCTTGACTGAGCATTGTTTGTTTTGAAAAAACCTCACATGGATTGTCATTCCATTCTATTATCTTTCTGATTGTTCTTTCTAAAAGAAAATTACATGAACATTAAGAGGACATGATCGATCTGATGTACTCATATCGATATTATTCTTGAAACTCTTCCTTAAGATCTTATTGATGCTTATCTGTTCAGGTTCGTCAGAAGGCGTATTAATTATATGCATTGTACCGCGTTCCCTATTCCTCGATTAGTAACATTATTTCGCGTATAATAAAATGTTTAATTATTTTAGTTATCTAATTATATTCGTCACTTAACAAGCGAAAATCCATGTTCTATGGTTCGGGACAAATTGGAAAATAGTCGTGACACTTTGACTGTCGGCGCTGTCGATACATTCGATAATGATGATTCGAGTTTATCTCCTGGTTTACCAGCCGATGGTTCTCCGAGTTCAAGTTCATCGATTTCGAAATTGTCGAAAAGAAAAAGAAGTGCGAAATCATCGTCTACAACAAAGAAAACGAAGACTGTTTGAATTCATTTGTTTATTTTGTATTTCTATTGTATTTAAGCAGTTTTTTATTTATCTTTGTACGATTTGACTTTTATGATATTATTTATTTCTATAGGATTGATGTCATATAAGCACTTTGATAAAATATATTTGATATTAAATTGATACAAATATATCTTATGGAGAAGAGGATTGAAAAGTCATAGATGATATGGACTATTCAATGAGTGAAAACCCATATTTTCTTCTCATTGCAAACTGACTGAGATGCGTGCTGATTTTGAGTGACATTCCTTAATATCTATTCTCAAATCATTGAAATATGATTATGTTTTTGATCATGTTGTAGAGATTTAAAAGATGGCAAATATTGCTTCTAGAAGTGACTTCACAGATGATATTCTATCATTTTGTGATGATGATTTCTACAATTTAGTTCAACAGCAGTGTGGTGCGATTGCTTTGGAAATTATAAAAGCTCAAGATATTACATCAATTAGTTGTCTACTGGATATTAACAATATATTTGATTTTCTGCATCTTGACTCGGATGAATTAATTCCATTGAAGAAAAAAGCTGGTGTCATACTGAAAGATGGTCGCTTAATTATCAAAACGGGACTTGAGCACAAAGTTAAGAGTTTTCTGAACAATCTTCATTGTCTAAATCAACAACGTTCAACTACCTCTTACAATTCAGATCGTTCTCTTGATATGACTGTTCCTGAACAACTATTACACATGTTTCCGTTCATCCGAACCCTTATCAACTGTTCAAATCTGATTACAAAAAGTGAAATTAATTTTACCTTTTTCAATGCAATGTTGAATAATATGGTTAGAAACTTCATTACTGAAGAACAAGGTTATCGATATGATTCAACTGTTCGACAATTTGCAAGCTGTTTATATATCCTTGGTGGCCGTACAGCGTATGAATTTGTACGTTTGAATCTTCCGGGTTTTCTTCCAAGTGTACAAATTATTCAATCAGATATTAATTCGTTCAAAAATCATTTATCTGAAGGACAATTTAATTATGACTATGCTCATGAGTATTTCCAATTAAATAAATCAACAATCGGTTTTTGTGCAGAAGACTGTACTGCGATCATACCCAAAATCACATATGACACAAAATCGAATGCATTTATTGGGTTCTCATTACCTCTTGATAAAAATGGGATACCTCTTAACAGTTTCTATTCAACGTCATCTTTCACTCGTTTTGAAGAATGGTGTTCTAATCTCTCACAAGCAAATCTGTTAAATGCTTGTCTCATTCAACCACTCTCTTCTTCAACCGAAAACATTTCTCCGTATCTTCTTGCTGCTTTTGGAACCGACAACAGATTCATATCATCAGACATCATTGCACGTTGGCTTCACATTTATGAAGAATGTAAGACAAAAGGAATTAGAATTATTGGATATGCAGCTGATTGTGACAGTCGTTACTTACGTGCAATGAGAATATCTCTCGGATTTTTCAGTTCTTTTCGATATCATGACCGTTCTGATCTTTTTGAAATTGAGCTTCCATCTAATTGGTCTTGGTTTTTTATGCAACCGGAGCAATTATATGTGTGCATTCAAGATCCAATCCACATTTGTACAAAACTACGTAATCGACTTTTGTCTACAACTGCAACTCTTGTTTTGGGCAACCAGTTAATTAGCACTAAACCACTTTTTTATTTAATTGATAATTTTTCTAAATTTGACCATGCGCTTGTACCATCCGATGTTAACGTTAAAGACAGGCAAAACTTTCAATCGTGTGTGAAAATATCAAGTCAAAATGTAATCAATATGCTCGAACACGTTCCGGATTCGATTGGTATTATCATTTACTTGAAGGTTAATAATAGAGAAGTTTTGCAACCGAAAAAATCAAGTGTAGTCTTTAATTTTGATTTGTCTTTCTAGGCCATACAAAGCATTCGACTTGCTTATATTGAAAAAAGTACAAGTGTTGTCGATAGAATTTTCCATGCATGGTTCGTAGTGTTCATTTTTCGGCTTTGGTTTGTGTGGTTGAATTCTACGAAGAAACATGATCTTGACATAGCTTTTACAAAATTATCTAGATCGGATATATCTGATATGGAGAAAAAGAAAACAAAACGTAGCTATTTCGTTACGTATCAATCATATTTCTCAATGGAAATCAATGCTCATAGTTTAACATATCTTGCTGTCTTAGTGTCAGAAGGAACCCTTCCTTCTGAGGCTCTTCATACGTGGTTACAAAATTCGCAGAGTTGCGAAAGCACTTTTCGTTCAGCCAGATCGATATCCAGCATTAGTTCATCAGGAGTGAATTTTACAATTTCACAATTCTTATCTCGAATCAACAAATTCTTCATGTTAAATGACATAAAAACTCATGCACATGAAAATAAATTACGTTTCCCTAAACACCACAAACTGTCGTCAACACTGCCGTATGCTTCGAATTCATCAAACGTAATGATTATTTCAAAAATTGATATTGAAAATATTGTTATTAATGCCTTTCAAAGTGCAATTGAACTTTTTAAACCAATCAATATTGAAGAAATTTCCTCAAGTGAAACGTCAATATCGATCAATGATCTTAGCGACAAGGTTTCACGTCATTTAGATGACTTTTGGATCACAGAAGATAGTTCTCGCGACGACAAAAATTCAGATTTTGCCACTGAGTCTGATGATGAATTGGACAATGACGATAATACTGATGAATATATGACACTGAATAGCAGTTTTGACACCATAGATGATGTTCGTGAATGTGATACGGGCTTTAGGTTGGTTGATAATGTGAAAGAAGAATTTTCTCAAAACTACTTTCATATTAATGTTAATGGAAACAAAAAGTATCTTCACAAACAGACCGCATGTTGGTATCTGCAAAATGATAGATGTTCTTTATCGTCAGATCGATTAACCCGCGTTCAAGGTGTATGAAAAATTCTAGCTGTATTAGGACTCTTTGTTTTCTTTCTTTGTAGAGTTTTTTCAATAAAATTCATGAATTAATAGCGTAGGCTCAAGCAAAATGTCAACATTAGTTATAACAGAACATTTCTCTCTGTTATAAAGAGAACTACTGAGAGTTCAAGTGATTCCTGGATCAATATGCGATGAATCAGAATTAGCTGAAGTCACAGAAATCACCCGAAATCACAAGAAATCAGTGAAATCACTCGAAATCATCAGAAATCAGTGAAATCACTCGAAATCAGTGAAATCACTCGAAATCAGTGAAATCACTCGAAATCAGTGAAATCACTCGAAATCAGTGAAATCACTCGAAATCAGTGAAATCACTTGAAATCATCTGAAATCAAAAAAAAATTTGAAATCCAGAAATCAGAAATCAGTTTATTCCCCCTTGGGATATCTTTGTGCAGGATTCAAAATTTTCTTGAGCTGATTCGTTTCAGTGTTGGTTCCAATCGAACTAATACTAGTTCTAAATACAACTTGATGCGCTCTATCGGTTCTAAAAACAAAATTTTGGAAAAAGTCTCTCCCTGATCCTCGAAAACTCAAAAAACGTCAAGATTTTAGAAAAACTCGGACGGATTCGTCCAACAATCACCTACCTCGATTTCAACACTGGTTCAAGATCAAACTCGATGAGCTCTATCGGTTCCAATCATAAAAATATTCACACACACCCTCAAGATATCTTCCCATTCATAAGCTCAGGTTGAAAGGAGAAGTCTCGAGAATCGTTTAAAAAAGGCATTCCTTCTTGTCTAATAGTCGTGTGTCTGATCTCGAAACGAAACTATATAGATTATTGCTGAAAGGACATTTTACAAGAGGTCCTTTTTAGTGAAAGACATCAAAGTCGAGGACATCTATCGTCAACAAATGCTGTACGAAGATCAAATTTCGGGAACATTTTGCACCAGGACGAAAGCACCAGGACATTTGTATACATATTCCTCATTTCTCTGAGATCAAACTAAAAAATAAATCGTAACCAAATTATCATCAGGCAAAACAAACGTTCCATAGACACCACGAGATGTACAAAGAATTTCAGCCCAAAAATCTCTTTCATTCTAGGTATGCACCAAATCCAACTCCAATCGAATTCAAATCCTATTCTAGAGTTGGATTTGAATCATTAAGTTAGGGTTGGATGTGGGTTTGACAAGATTTGAAATTGGATTTGATCAGATTTGACTGAAATCGCTCGCAACGCTGATTAGATTTAAATTCAAGCTTTCTTGAATTTCATTTTAACGCGAATTAATAACAAATTAGAGTGAATGTGACCTGACACATTTTGCAGAGGTCTCTGACTTTCTTCATGAAAAGATTCGAATACGTTCAAATGTTGGTTAGAATTTTATTGTTTTTTTTCCAGAGTTGTGTCACCGATTCTGTGTCGTGTGAAAATAATGAAGATTTGGTTGGATTTGACAGTGAAATCCGATCAAACACAAATCTTGTCAAATCCATTTCAAATTCAAATCCACTCAGCTCCGATCCAATCTAGGAATTGGAACTGATTGGAATTGGATTTGCTGCGTATCTGTTTCATTCATTTACAAAACATTTTAAATCTTTTGCGGATTTCCTTCCTACCTCAGCATTTACCATTAAAAAAGTCAAAACCATATGGTCGTACCAATTCTCTTACAACATGTTCAATAAATCTATCGAGCGAATTTAATAGCAGCTTTTGCAAATAAAACATCTCCAAAGTTCATTAAAAATATTTTTATGTATTTTGTTCTGATGTACAGCTCTACTCTAATCGATGCTTTTTGTAACGGTCAAAATCCTAGCTTGATACTCCTCGCTGTCGCTGAGTTATTTAACAAACAACCAACTTCACTCTGTTTCGAAATGAATAATGCACACAAACATATCTATTTAGTTTGACTGCCAATATGTACATAATCTACAACGCTTCTTTTTATATAGCATAATAACATAAAAACATCTCAGTATTCGTTATTACTGTGGTGAAACTCTCATTCGTTGTCTGATAATATAATACACAAATGCGACAATTCGAGGAATCATCACTTGTAGACCAGATACTAAACCTCCAACTAGACCAAGCAATGTTGTGACAATATATAGCACATCATTCCGACTCGTTATCGTATATCGACATTCTGTTGGTTGACATGCATCGTAATACTTCTCAAACACCAATGATCGATTCCACTTTTCGACCATCAGCCCATCTACCATCGCTTTGACTGTACTCTTTACCAAGAATCGACTTGGTAAGGATACATTGAGAATCGATACATTTAATGTCCAACTCACATTCAATGCAATAATCAGTTGGTCAAAACATGACTGATTGTAGAAACATTCCAATGTTGAATCTAACAAGGATTCCACTATATAACAACCTTGATAGATACCTGGTACGGTGAATAGTATGCCAGTGACCAGACGATTGTAGATTGATAATGCTGTTCTACAGTCGTAGCCTGAGTCACAAGAACAGTTCTCATACTCCTTTCCAACAGTTCTTACCCAGTCATTATAGTCTTTTACAAGGAAATATCCATTAGTGAATCGTGTGGATAGAAATGAATTGCCATACGCTATCTCACGAACGATTCGCATTGAAAGTAAGAAACTGTTCGTTGTCGATAGTATGTACTGATCGATGGATGAGTCCATTTGTACTTCAAAGAGATGTCGTGGTGTCAGAGTCATAGCAACATATTGGGTGGAATAGAACTCGATTAGACTATCTGAGATAGTTCGATTTGCCAATTCACATAGCGCCGACAAGAACTGGAAATGTGATATACTTATGATGCGAAAATCATTCTCGTTCAAACGTCGCGAACCCCATGCTGCATTGAGATAGTCGAGCCAATGCGATGTGACAAATGCACTATGACAGACTTGATGAAAAGTATAGGTGAGATCGATGAATATGTGATGATCGACTGATATTTTTGTACATGGACATGTCAATGTTCGTGCATGTTCGACATATAACTGTGAATACTCATCTATCATTGGCGTGTTGACGATGATCTCTTTTGTAATAGACACTAGTGAGTTGTAGAGAAGAAGAATAGTTAAGGAGAGTAGTAAGATAACGATGAACAATCGGGTAGATATTTTCTGATTGCGAAATTGATGTTGATCGGTAGTAGGAGGAACTGATGGGAACATGTTGTAGTTACGGAGATAGTGAACACATCGAGTTGTATAATACGCACAAGTTTCCCAGTGTGTCATGATTGGTAAGTTATTTATTCACGGATGTAGTGAATAACAGAATATGAGACGAGGATCGAAAAAAGAAATATCTGAAATAGTACGATTAGTAATGAATATTGGATAAAAATTAAGTCAGAATGAATTCAGAATAGACTATTGACGGATAGAGGAGTATCTTTTCTTGTTGTCGAAAGAAAATAAATGCGGTATTTTTATCAATTTATGACCTTTTCATCTGGGTTCGTATACATGCATAGGGTGCGGCAGTAGCATCTCAACACTCGAACTCCGCACGGCAATCTGAACGAGAAACTTTTCTATCGATCACTATTGATCTCAATAAGAAAAATTGTTTGATTTTGCAGACAAGTGGTACCATTATCTGTTTACATGCGGTGTCAGTACCTCTCACCCAAACAACGATAGTATATTCAGCAACGTTGGATGCTTTTTTTATAGAGTACATCCTTCATTTACCTGAACATAATCATTGTGGGGACTGATGAAGTTGATTGATCACTCTATTAAGTATCGTGATTGAGTTTAAAAAGTGAGCTGGAATCGTGCTGTGCTTGAAATTTTGAGCTCATTCCACGTCGACGTATATTATACTATCAAAGTCTGTCCATCGTAATCATGAAGCTGAAATTTCCCAAAACAGGACGAAACTACTCAGAACCCGGACGTATTATCCCCAGAATAAAACAATTTTGTTCTGTTTCCGCAATGGTACTTATTAAAAACATAAATAACTACAGTTGTCTGAGATGACCTATAGAAAATGAACTTTAAATAATCGGCAAATTATGGGTGCATAAGTCAGCACGAAATTTCGAGTTGACGTGTCGAGCTCACTTTTTTTTGGTCTCGTGATTGTAGGCATCAACACTCTGTGTAATGATATGACGATATCTATGTCTTGTTCGTGTGAGTTTATAGTGTCAACATAGCACGGGTTTATAGGAGCAAATAAGTCCCTCGAATCGAATGTCAAAGACATCGGCGGACCAGCACTCAAATACACGTGGTGAGATAAGAATAGTTTTTCGTAGGATAGTTACTGGAAAAATTGTTTTACGTGCCAATTTTTCGTAAAATCGTTAGTTATTCCGAATGTTTTCCTGGGACAACTCCCCCCACCTTGTACGCTGTTGGCGCGTCGGATACGCGAAGGAGACACTCAAGCTTGAATATGTCGAGTGATCAGTGGAAGTCCTATATGAAGAACAGCTTTTGAGAATTTCTGAAAGTGGGATAAGCGTTTTTTGTATGATTTCTACTGTCTGCATTGCCTTTAAACATATCGAAAGTAGGGTGGAAACTTTATGATACTCCTTCTATTACAGGCGCAGCATACCTTCCAGATAACAGCTCACATGGATATTCCTGACGATGAGATTAGTATTCAAGCAGATTCATTATCTCAATGATTCTACCAACTCAACCATCTCGAGAATTGGATGTATGGAAAATCGATCCACTATTTTAATATCTGTCCTCTATCTGTACATGCAAAGAAAAACGTTTGTATCTCTGGGCTTTCTGTATTAGATCCCTGTCGTTAGCGATGATGAATGTCCTCGCTATAGTTTCTCTCTCCTTTAAAGTATAATCTTTTGCAGACATTTCCCCATTTTTTCCATTTACATTCTGCTCTTCACTTTGTTTCATGTTGTCTTCTGATAAAGAATGCTCTGTTCGATACCATTTTCCCTCTGTTTGTTAGATACAGGGATTCTTATGATGCGTTGGTGGAGTTGGCTTTCTACTTTTTCGTACATATACAATGCAATTTCTCTCAGCCACAATAGATAGGGATTTGTATTCTCGGCGAGAGCTCACATTTGCACACAATATCATCGCCAGACTTTCTACAGTGTTCCCTTAGCATCACAGAAAGACCGAAAGAATCGAATGAAACACAGAGATTGCGAGGTATTCATCAAGGTTATCATACACCACACTCTTCAACGAGTTTTGTGACATTCTCCAGAGTTTTCTGGAGTTGCAGACTAGCTTCCTTTCGCACTATCTGTATGTGGATGGCAAATATTTGCTCGACAATTTCTTGGCAGCTACGGCCGGATAATCTTACGAGAGAACTGTAACGATATATCTTCTATCCTAAGAGTTTCTGCCGGCTATTGTATTCTTATGAAATTAAGAACAAAGCAGGATCAAATTCGGTCGATTTTAGCAGGCGCTGTAAAAAGTCAGTGTCAAATAAAAAACCTTGAATAGCCGCTTATCATTGATTTAACCTTTTCTTTCAGTTTTGAAGCTTCAAAAAATTTACTAATAAACGTTTATCGCCAGAATGAACAGTTTGCGACGCAAGATTTGTTAAACATGCCTAACTGGTTGTAAAATCTGAAACCTTTAGACGTTTTAGCACGCACTTAAGCCTTGAAAACTATATGTCATAAATATAAATCTTTTTTTACGGATTTGTTGGTATTATCCTATTTGACGGTGTATAGGTGTAATACCTAGTTTCGAAGGTTTGTGGGCTTGTTAAACCGTCACAAAGTTTCAGAGTTAAGAACCAATTAGATATGTTTAAGCGCTTTTGGGATGCAAACTGTTTCTCCTGGCGAGAAAAAAGTGTTTGGATCAATTATAAGTGGCTGTTCAAGACATTTTCTTCGACAGTCATTTTTTACAGTGTAGTTTGGTAGCCAGTAATATATATTCTCGCTGAATGTTTGACGACGATGTTAAGGAGCGATAATAAACTTTCAAAAACAGACTTATGAATTTCTAAATTAACGCACAAGCGGTTCAGATAGATATAAGAAACGTGACTTTTAGATCGAAGTTTCTCTACACAGACTTGAACAGGATTATCACCGAAACGAAAGCGTTTTTACCGGAACTGTAAGCAATAGATTTCTATTATTGCAAATGGTATATGAAATGTTGTTGTTAGGGCTTTGCCAGACATCATATTAGGTTGGCCAGAAAGTTTTTGCGATTTTTCTTAAGTTTTCCTAGAATAGTCAAGCAAGTTCTAGAAGTTTCCATATTAAGAGTATATAAAGAGGGTACGAATTTTTTTCGAATTAGAACAAAACCATGGATATGGGCGTTGATCAAGAATTAGAATGTAAGATATGTCGTAGAGAGCTCCGAGTGCTTTTGCGTCATGAATTCCGTCTGGGTCACAAAGCAACGGATACAGCTAGCAACATATGCAGCACGATGGGCAAGGATGTACTCTCCATTCGTACAGCGCAACATTGGTTCAGGAATGACAATTTAGAATTCGGCGATTTACCTCGGTCCGTAAGACCAATAGAGGTGGATATGAATGCTTTGAAGCAGCTCATCGAAGAAGATCCAAGACTGACTACAAGGTGTTTAATAGGCCTAGGACAGTTCAAAGTTCCAAATCCATAAGAACTGAGCAAAAGAACTCCTTACTCAGTTCTTCTGAAAGGAACTGATCTGTGTCTACCAGTTCTTTCATAGGAACTGATCTGCAGCCAACAGTTCTTTGACAGGAACTGAACTGTTTCTGACAGTTCTTTGATAGAAACTGAACTTTTCGTAACAGTTCTTTTAATAGAACTGTATTCTGAAAACCAGTTTTTTCGAACTGTGAAATTGTTTTAAACATCCCAGTTCCTTGAAAAGAACTGTCAGAAACAGTTCAGTTCCTGTCAAAGAACTGGCAGGTGCAGATCAGTTCCTATCAAAGAACTAGTAGGTGCAGATCAGTTCCATTCAAAAGAACTATTACATAGTTCCCATGATCGGAACTAATATGGAACTGTCCTAGGCCTAGTGTTTAACCAGAGCGACTTGTTTGCGTTCGTGCTGCAGTGGAAACATACCTGAAAGAATTAGGTAAAACGTGAAAATACGGTGTTTAGATTCCACATGAGTTGTCACCGCGTCAGCTTCAACTCAGGGTTGACGCTTGTATAGAGTTAATGACATCTCATCGCAACTACCAATAGCTTCACAAGCAGGCGTAGCAACGTCTAAGAGCGAACTTCACCCAATGAAGGTTATGCTGAGCGTTTGGTGGAGTATCAAAGGAATTATTCATTCGGAAATTCTTCCTGCTGGCTGCACTGTCACCGCTGATCTCTACTGTCAGCAATTAGATTGAGTTGCTCAAGAACTCAAGGGAAAGCAGAATCGAATTTACTATTTGCATGGCAATGTCAGACCACATGCTGCAAAGATGACCTACGTAAAACTACTGAAGCTTGGATGGATTACCATTCCTGATCCACCTTACTCTCCTGACTTGGCTCCAATAGACTGCCATTTGTTTGGTTCTATTCCTAATTAGTTGGGCGAGAAAAAATTCGGTGACGAGAACACCCTTAGAGCGGAACTGGTTAACATCGTCGCTCAAAAGTTTTAAGACTTTTACGAACATGGAATCCTTTCTTTACTAACACGTTGGCAACAAGTCATAGACAGTGATGGAGGTTACATTGTTGGAAGCTAATTGTATTTTTTGGAGTTAAAAAATAAAAATAAAATTTTCAAAAAAACGCAAAAACTTTCTAGCCAACCCAATATTAAATCTGTTTTCTAAAATGTTTAGCGGGAGTTATCATCGATTTACCTTCTGATGGAAAAACTAAGAGAACTGATAAATAACTGATCAGTAGAGTTCCTCTAAAATCTTCAAAGAATATGATAAAATAGATTTCTTATATATGGTTGTGCAGGACTTTGGACGGGCTACGCCGTTTCATACTCCACACTTTAAATCATCTAGTAGTAAGAAAAATGCAGAAGACAATTCCTAATTAGTTTTACTTTTTTTGTATTACAAGGGATAATTATAGATTTAGTGTGATCAATAGTGCTCATCTTAGGCAGAGCATCCGTTCGTCAAAATTTGCCAGAAATTGTCCCTTCGATAGCGATGCAAAATGCATTTTTTCAAGATTTTCAGTATCAGCGATTGCGTCTTCTTTAAAATAAATACGATATTCGAAATCAGCATAAAAACCTGTATCAGACAGTTCATCTTTCAATCGCATATTTTTTCGACCGAAATTCGACCGTTGGGAAACCACAGCGAGGCATTTTAAAGAAAGTGGCTGAGAGAGGAATACAAGTTGAATTTCGATCGAAAAAATATGCGATTGAAAGATGAACTGTCTGATACAGTTTTTGTGCTGATTACGAATATCGTATTTATTTTAAATAGGACGCAATCACTGATACTGAAAATCTTGAAATAATGTTGTAAAATAGATGATTTTAAGCAAAGCATGGCGACAGTTTCTGAGGGTAAGGCAGTTTTTGACACAGAGCAAAAACGTCGAAGAACTTCCAAATAGTGTGTTTTGTAGCCCTATCGAAGGGGGTAATATCTGGCAAAGTTTGACGAGCGGACGGTCTTGCTAAGACGAACGCCATCCATTCTTCTGAATTTATACTAGTCTTTTTCAATGAAAAATAATGCCAAATCATAAGAAATGGCCTCATGCTCTTTTCTTATCACTATATGAATAGAGATACTATATAGGTGTTTTTTTGACCTAAGCAAGGCCCTATATAAGATATTTTATTTATGACGTTCTTTGGCTTACTTATAAGGGTTATATTGGGTAGCTCTTCATTATCATTTTCAATCTCACTGCTTCATCAATAAATTAACCATAAATTCCGCATAACAGCTTAGAAAATAGACTTATTATACACCGTTCGATGCGCATTGAAAAGGTCAATAAGATGGAATATATGGCTTCTCAATTTGGGATACCTCATCTTATCTGACAGGGCCTTTTACGATTTCGAGTTTTTGAAAGAACCTTTTTGTGTACTGGGCAGAATTTATGTATTTACTAATTGGTTTATAACACTTTTCCTTAAAAAATCTAGCTTTGGTCACTTATACGTTATATAAAATACTGAATGAAAATTGATTTTCTTATCTAGAGTTTCTTCGAATGAAAAACTTACCAAAAATTAAATTTTTTATTTAGTTTTTCTTCCAAATAAATGTTTTTTAATAGGTACCAAACAAGACTTCTTCCAATGCAACTGTTAATAAATGGAAGCCCCGTTTTTTCTAAATGATTTTTATCATTTTTATTCTTTGATTTACTGTATGACATGAAAACTTTGAGCTGGTTCTTTCAACCAACTCTCATCATAAACTAAGGATAGAATCTCAGGAAAATTCAGTCGCTGATGAAATTACGGATAATAATAACAACAGATGATCACTTTTTTTGCTTGACAATATTTAACATAGTTCCGGATAAACTTCTAGCGTTCATTCTTCTTGCGCATTTTCTGACACATCTGTCGTTGGATATCATGTTAGCAAAACTAATGATATATAGACGAAGTGGGCATGATCTCGAGGTCCAGAGTCATAACCGAATCCGGTCGGAAAAAACTCACTGTAACAAATTGAACTTTTTTATTGTCTGAAGCTCGCAGAACAGCTAAAAAGATTGTATTAACACAAAATCTGATTCTGTCTGGTTGAGGCACATCGATAGCTATCATTAGAAATAGTTAGATACTAAAAAGAAGCATAAAACTGTCATTTAAAAACAATAGTGACCTGTTAAAATATCAAACATGGTGGAAAACAGGTAAAATAAATGAAAATCATTGGAAATCAAATCAACAGTAACAAAGAATTAATATGTTCTTCATGTTAGCTTCTATTTAATTGATAACCTCAAGATAGTTTTTGCCCTTGACGCACAGCTTGATTAATGTACCTATTTGTTTTCATTAAGAAAATATATGAATGCTTTGCTTCTCATTAACACATTCGAGGCGCTCCAGTTTTTGTACAGGAGCTGATCGAGATGCCTGTCCATTCATAGAATAAACTTTTTGTAGATGCACTTATGGGCCTGTTCTTACTATTCTCTCGATTTTTACTGTCCTTATCTGTTACAGAACTAGGCAGTAAATGCAATCTCGTGTTCCGCTATGTAATAACTCAATTTACTTTTTGGTTCTGTAGTGTGTAGTACACACTATATGCGAGATAAGGATAAAAGGTTTCTAGATCTTTCTGTTAAACTCGTGTCTGTTCTATTAATACAATCAATCCTATCGATTGCTATCGACATTTCATCACTGATGAAATCATTAGCCTGATGGTTTACGAAACTAATCGATATGCACAACAACACTTACAAGTTCGAGAACTTATCTAACGATCAAAAACTCTTCAATGGAAGCCAACTATTCTTGAAGAAGTGTTCAAATTCTTGAGAATTATCATCGAAATGGCTTTGATTCAAACGCCAAAAGTGGACTATCACTGGAGCAAAAATAAGCTATACGATTCCGAAGTTATTCAAAATACCATGTCAAGAGACGTAATGGAAGTTAGCAGCGGATTCGAGTATTTCTTGCTGACATTCGCCCCAGTACTTGGGATGAGTGTGAAACTCCTGGGATGGATAGATCTCGTCATTCTGCATCGAATGATGTAAGATGCATCTGGTTTATTAATTTTTGAGATACTATCACCAAGAACAATGCTAATTAGCAGTAGATCACACACATACAACCCCTTCTCTATCACTCATTGGTTCATTCTTGTGGGCCAATGGAAATAGAGCTATGAAAAATACGATATTATGCCAGAAAATTTATCGTGATAAACTCATAAGAACTATCATTAATGATAGAATATTCTTGTCTGAATTATTTTAGATAATTCGAGTAAAAAACTGTACATGCCTTTGTTTGGTCGGCTTTCAAACAATCAACCATTGTTCTCACCTGAAAGTCATACTCTATAGCTTCTTTCATTGGTCGATTTTTCCTGTTGAAAATAAATGTTGCAATAAAACTTTATTTGAAAAGCTTTGTGAAAATTGAGTTTCAAAGTTTTCTTGGAGCTTAAAATTAAAATTAGTTTGTTTTTCAGAAATAACCAGAATATTGTAATTTTATGGCTCTAGGGTGGGGGAGATTTCGGTGCATGTAGCAGAATTCTTTTTTTGTGGAAATGTATCGATCCAGAAATTATACAGTCAGGATTGAATATTTTCAGGGAGCTATTGTAACTAGTAACGCTCGTCGAGGCAGACTCGCTATGCCCTCGACTGAACCACTGACTGAAAATAAAATAGTCTTATGTGCGTTTTATGCAAAAAAAGACAGAAGTATAACCTTTGAAAGGGTCCCCAGAGACTGATCTTCATTCGTCTCACAGTCTTCAAAAGAGTCAAAGGACTACTTGTGNTTTTCACCTTATAAAACTCACCCAACAACGCAGCGTGTTACATAGCCACACTTACAAATCTAACATTAGTACTAAATTTGCATACTAAACGCAGCCACGCAAGTATTCACGAGTGATCAACTAAACCTTATGGAACCATATAGTTAGCTACATACTTAAGAACACCACTTACCGACACAAATTCTCGCAGCTTTTATTGTCCAATGAAATTCTACTGTACCTATATAAAAATACTCATTTGACCGAATTCAAACAAAGAGCAATCTTTTCTTAGAAAATAATCGACAAACGTATTCACCTACTCAGTTTTCTATCCTTCAAAGACAGTAATGATATCATTTCGCAATTGTAATTGTCACAAAAGAGGGGATATCACTAATTACTATCATCACTTCTCTTTTTCCGTGTCACAGACGATTCTTGAAGCTGTCCATCTATACAGGGATCGAACTTTGAGTTTAACATTTAAAGCAAAGTACAGTCATCCTAAACTCTAATCTTTCTATAAAATATAAGATATATCAAAATTATTCTCCTTTCCGTTCATACTAAATACAGGACATATCTGAAGCACTTTAACGATTTTTCAACGTTTCAGCCTATTACGCCGTGTTAACTCGATAGATGATATCATATCGATATCACACGAAGGTATCATGTCTTTGTTCTACGACCTCAACCCACGCTTTATTTTCTGACATATAAGAGGACGCGTGTGTTTTCGAAACACAGATACATAGCCATGCACGTCAGAAACAACGTCTCTCACTGTAAAACGCTGAATGTCCTTATGAAAAATTAACCGACAGGCATATCATTTAATAATATTCATTGATCAATCCCTTTTCTTTTACTTTCCAAGAAAATGCAATTAAAAATTTCTACTACATAATGTATTCCTTCGATTCATCACATCGTAACACATCTTAGAACTTTAAACTGTTTTTCCCGATTCTTAATATAGAGTACAAAGCATTAAGTTTTCGAAATCGACGCAATGGAAATATTCTGGTTATTTCCGAAAAACAAACTAATTTTAATTTTAAGCTCCAAGGAAACTTTGAAAGTCAATTTTCACAAAGCTTTTCAAATAAAGTTTTATTGCAACATTTATTTTCATCCTTTTTGTCCAACAGGAAAAATCGACCAATGAAAGAAGCTATAGAGTATGACTATCAGGTGAGAACAATGGTTGATTGTTTGAGAAGCGACCAAACAAAGGCATGTACAGTTTTTTACTCGAATTATGTCAAATAATTCAGACAAGAATATTCTANTTACACCATTCGATGCAGAATGACGAGATCTATCCATCCCAGGAGTTTCACACTCATCCCAAGTACTGGAGCGAATGTCAGCAGGATATACTCGAATCCGCTGCTAACTTCCATTACGTGTTATTACCTTTAAAACCAGCTTTTCCTGAGCTGACAGCGCTTCTTCTCGTTGCAATAACAATTCCTATCCCTTCTACGATGTGTGAACGAATATTCAGCAACCCAGGTCCGATAATCCCGGCGACTAGATCCGTTGAAATCTGAGTCGGTTCCGGTACAGCTCTTCTCGATTCCAGCAAGTTCCGGCAGGTTCCTTACCGCCAGATTCCGGCCGGAATTTCAGAGGAAATATCCGATCAGTTCCTGGCCGTTTCCAGCTCGAACTTTGCAGGAAACGGTCAGGAAATGACTGGAACCTACGTTCGAACTTCGGGCCGGAATCCGGCGGCAAGGAAATGGTCGGAAAACGAACCTAACCGGCCGGAACCGACCGTGCCATAATAACCTGGAAAAGATCTAAAGACAATCACAGATCATCATGGAATAAAACGATAGATGGTCGTTAATTGCAGAGCTCTTCGTGTTGAATTTATAAGATATTTCGATTATTGTGTTTTACATTTTTTATACAATAAAGATTGCACTGACAGCTTTTCTTGGAAGATGTCACTATAACAATTTAAGATGGCAAGGGAAAACTTTAACAGCGTACCATTAAACATATATCGACAAGTGCGGAGTCTTTCGAGCACAGATACAGATACCCAGACAGACAAAACTTTCAAAAATACGCGTATAAGCGCTTGAAAATGTGCGCTTTTTATGAATTTACTTTCGTTAGAACTTAACGCATTTCATTCTTGTAAAAAACGCGTATTTTTGAAAGTTTTGTCTGCCTGGGTACCACCAAAACCGTACTCGATTATTTTATCCATATCTGCTATTAAATACTTGTATTTTTAAGTATATAATAGCTGCTATGTTTTAATTCAAGAGTAATTTACTAATAAATGCTATTAACAGATTTGTCGACAAATGGTAGTGTAGGACTAGCACCGATAGGTGATAAATCATGAAAAGTTTTTTTGGAAATATTTTTAAAAGATAGAAAGGACTGTTTGTAATATAAAAGAAGCAATTGTTAAAAGGTTCATTAAAGAAAAAAGAAAACGAAAACAAATGAAATGTCAGATAAAATAAATTTAAATAAAAATCATAAATAATAACATATGTAAAAAGTTGATGAAAGAAAAATAAACGATTTTACGATAACACTTTAAAATCGCATTACAAAAAAGAAAAATAAACAATTTTACGATAACACTTTAAAATCGCATTACAAATTGAAAAGATCTTTTCTGTTATCAAAAAATGATGAATCACTATATTCTGGGTGACATATTCAATAGATTGATGAAATTAAAATACGATTAATATGAAGAAAAGTTTTATTCATCGATTACATATTTGAATAAATTGTCATTAAAACTATATCCTTTTAAAAAAAAAGTCAACAAGAAATACTAGAAACATAGAAATGAAATATAATCTAATATCTTATTCAAGTACTGTTTTTAATGTACTACTTTGATACTGATCGCTTTTTCCTCTAATTCTAATCAATTGTTTAATTAATCCCGGTAATTCATAAACCTTCTTAACGTCTCCTACAATACTTTCATTAATAATAGAATGAAAAATATTTTGAAGATCAATTCTAAATTGATTTTCTGTTTCGAGTAAGATTTGATCATTTGAATTAGCTAATTTAATTGCTAAATTCGAAGTTATGAAATTATTCATAAGATAATGTTTCGACTCCAATTCAGTATGGATTCGTTTCGATATTGCTTTGTCCTCATGTAAACGGTCACTCTCGACAAGAGCAACACATTTTTTTATAACATCAATTTCATTCATATTATAATGACAATCTCCATTAAATAATCGAATGATAGTTGCAACATCCTTCTCTTCTTTTGTTAATTTTGGAGCATTTATTGGAATCATAATCGAACCATCTATATCATCGATATGTATTAGTCTTACTGTAGAATCTATTCTTTTCTGACATAATTGAATAAGATGTTTAGCTTCAAACGCAGAAATAATTATAAAAGACGTTTCTCTATCCGTTTTATGAATTACTATCATGTTTACTGGTTTCAAATAATCATTCTGATATTGTCTATTTTTCTTATCTATAATATCGGTTGTTTCTATAAAATTATTAGTCGCAAGAATTTTACTATTCCATTTTAACGTTTTTAAACCATCAATATTTGTAAATTCAAAACATTTATTCAATTCTTTCAATACTGGATAATCTTTTTCTCCTCTTAATCCTTTCTCTTTAAAATCTTGTTCGAAAATCATTTGAAAATTCCAAATAATCTCCCTTATTGGTACTGAATATTTTACATAAGCTATCTCAATACGCTTTATTTCTTCAGTCTCTCTTTCATTTTCTTGATCACCATTGAATTCAGTATTAGTTGTTAATATTTTGCTAGGAAGTTTGCTATATACTTTTTCTATTATACTTCTCATTTTTTCTCTATCAGTATCTTCGCTTATAGTAAGAATTTTTCCATGTAAGTCTGAGGATTTTACCTTTTCCTTCAGTTCATTTTGAAAAATTGGATAAAACCGACCTAGTAAAGCACTCATACTATGATGTAAAAGATCTCTTGGATTTCTTGGTTGAGGCGTTTTTCCATAGAAATGTTCAATACTATCTACGTATTCACTGACAAATACTTTTATAAGAGAATCCAATCGAATATCTAGAAATAGTTTTTGAAACTCAAGTGCTCTACTTTTAATAATATATTGTAATTTTTCTTTCGTAACAAGATATAAATCATTTTCATTTGTTTGAATTGTATTATAAGTAACCCATGTTAAAACATGTTTACTATTTATATCATCTGGTTTAATTCCATTTACCATTGCAATATCTGCTGAGATTTCTTTCGAACCCCATAGTACGATTGATTGTTTATAATCAAGATCGCGAAGACGCATAACTGCTTGCATTAATTTATCTTTACTCATATGTTTTCCTAATGTTACAATTCCATTTGCAGTTAATGGTAATTTCAAATCAGTTCCACGAGTATGAACTTCATCGAAGTAAATAAATAATTTCTTAATATCGATATGACATGTTGATATCGGTAAACAATTTTCATTTCTTAAAATAACCATTATTTGGTTAGTTTTATCAGAAAAATAGACAATTCCATCAAATCGTTGATGGATTTTCTTAATAAAATACTTCGATACATCAAAATTACTAATTTCTGTAATCATAGCACCTGCGTCAATTAAAGTATAACAGTCCTTATTTATTTTTACATATTCACAAACTTGATCTAAGAGATTCAATGTATTAGATATTTCTAATTTAGATTGATATTTAGTATTTATTTTTCGAGATAAAATATGTAACATCTTACCATTTGTTCCCTCTTGAGATGTTAGTAATTTTGGAATAATAGATTCAGGCATAGTATCATTACAATCATTAGTACCCGAAAATCCTTTTGTTTTTCCTTCACCTGCTAATGTGTGAGCATTTCCTGTAAGTTTCTTTTCATAATATTTGGCATCATGTGGAAATGTGAAATTACTTAAATAATATTGAATAAAATTAAAATTTCGAGAAAGATAGAGATAAACTTTTCTAATTCTATTTTCATTTTCAAGATCAAATGTTCTGAAAGATTTTAACCATTGTGGAAAACGTTGATTTTCTTTTTCACTCAATTCATGAATCCATGTTGTATTTTCTTCAACCCATTGTTTTAATAGAACATCTTTATCTTGTCTTGGATCATTTTTTAATTTAATTAATCCATCTTTTACTTGACTTAAATCTAAACCTCTATATAAATAACTAATAATTGTAAAACCTATCATAACATCAGGATGACTATATTCAGAATTTTCAGATGGTAAATCTTTTCCTCGAAATGGAATAGCAATTTCTTTATCTTTTTTATCAGTTAATCCATATTCAACTCGATATCGATAATTCATTACATGATAGAGTAATTTATGAGATAACCAAGCTTTTGCTAATAAAAAACAATTTAACATTTGACGATTTTTTGTTCCTAAAAAATGAACAATTTCATTTTTCTCGGATAAATATTTTCCTGCTACAAAATTCTCATAACTTCCATAGTTTTTACCATTTTCATCGATCATATCTATGTTTTCTTCATGAAATTTTAAACGCAATATTACACAAAGTTTCTGACAAAGTTTTGTTTTGATGTTTTCTACAAAATATTCATATTTAAGAAAACGTATGAGAGAACATCCTCCTCCTATTCCACTTAAGGGTCGAAAATTTTCTTGAAAAATAACAGGACAATCATTGTTTTGTGAAGCATGTTTTAAAAATTTGCCAAAATCAATATCAGTAAAAATGATTTTAAATAATAAGAATGGAATTTCCCAACGATCTTCACCACCATCTAAAGGTTGAGCTAAACCCAATGTATAATTTAATTCTTTTTTATGACGTAAAATTTCATCAGATTCATCTAATATATCAAAAAATGTAAATTGATCGATTAGATCAAGTAAATCTAACTGTTGTTTCACGTATTTTTTGTGTTTTGTTGAATAATATTTTAAAATATGAAATGCATCTTTAATATTCAAAGAATCTTCTTCACTATTTTTACTTCGTATCTCTTCAACAAAAGTTTCAATTGTTTCACAAGGATATTTCAATATTTTATCTCGAGAATCTATATATTTCAATGATCGTAATGTTTCTTTTAATGTATTACTAGAACGAATTAATTTATATTGTGTTTTAGTAGTTTGTTCTTCATATACTTTCCAATTAAAAACATCATCCGCATTTTCTGATTGTACATATTCTAAAATGATTTCTTGTTTTTTTAATTGAAAGCATAAACGTTGTGCAGGTGTTACTAATAGAATATGTTTTTCTCTTTGACATTCAATAAGTATTTCTTTAATTTTTTCCAGATTTTCAATTGAAAATAAAACTCCTCTTGAATATGGTAACATATAAATTTTCTTTTGTAATAATCTACTAAATTTATTTCTCAATAATTCATACATAACACCTATTAGTGGTTCTAAGCAATTTATTCTGACAATTTGTTTAGTATTAGCTAATATTTCACTAAGTATAATTAGAATAACTGATGTTTTACCTTCTCCCATATTTAATTGATAAATACTATTCTCTTTTTCTTCTATCATTGTTTGTATAAGAGTAAATTGTGTATTGCGAATTAAAAGATTATTTTCTATTTCAAATAATAACCAAGATGGATATATATTTTCATTATAAGATCGTTTCATTAAAAGATTTGTTAGAATATTTTCTAAAATTCTTTCTTTTTCTTCATAATTATTTTCTAAATCTAATGATTTATATTGATAAACTAATAAAAGAACTCTTCGAATTTGTTGAATTAATGTTTGTTGAATTGAATAAATTTTGATTTTTTCATAGAATATTTCTTTTTGATTTAGAATAAAAGGATTAAATTCACTAAATTGATCGATATTTTTCAATAAAGATAGAATTTCTTTTCTACTTGGATTTCTTTCTTCTCCTATAATCAAACGTAAAACAAATAGATTTATTTCATCAAATTCATATTCAATTACAGGAATCATATTTTGATATATTTCTTTAAATAAATTTTCATTCGTTCTATCGAAATCGAAATAATATTCAATTAAGATACGAACAATATTATCGAAATTATATTCAGATTTCAAATGAATTTTCTTTTGTGGTGTTTGTAAATATCCGATAATTGTTGAATTAGTTATAGATTCTTCTGAGATTTCCTGATTTATTTCTATTTCATAAAATTTATCTTGATTTAACCAGAATTGAAATTGTTTTTTATATTTGTCATTTCTATAGGTATACTCTTCGATTTGTTTTAATTCGAATACTGTATTATCTAATTTTTCATAGATTATAATATTAATTTGTTTTCTTCGAAATATTAACATAAAAATATATGGATTTACAATATCATATTTATAACAATAGTCGAAATATTGTTGAAAAAGATAATTATTTTCAAGAAGAAAATCTTTTATATTGTCTTCCATATCTTCTAAAGTTCTGAGCCAATACTTCGCATCTTTTTTAAGATTATTATCACTCTTGAATTTTTCTAACTGTTGTTTAAGTTCTTCTAATGTAAGAATTTCAAATATAATACATCGTTTAATTAATTCATGATTGATATTCTGATATAGATTCTCTAACTCTATTCTCATATTTTTTATTTTGTTTCGTTCCCATTCTGAAATATATTCTTTGGAAATTTCATTTTTAATCCATTGTTCAACATGAAAAAGTAATTTATTTTTCATTTCATTGAAATTATCTTTTAAATTAGACAATTCTTTTCTATAATCATATTGGAATTCTTTTAAAATTTCAATACCTAATTTGGGTTCTTTCATAGAAAAGTGAAAATATTTTTCATTAATTTTCACTATTGATAAATCTTGTCCATAACTTTCTTTCAGATTAGAAATAAGGTTTTTTCCATATCCACTTGAAAATACTTCTTTCAAAATAGAATTATTAGAAAGAGTATCTAGATCGAGAGGAAAAGGTAATTTCTCAGGATAAGAAGTACTTGTCTGAAAATAATTTTCAAGATGTTTATAATATTTTTCTATATCAATATTTTCTACTTTCCATTTTAAATCATATATATCATCTTTACTGATGTTTCGATATGAATAATTTTCATTAATCTCATTCTTTCTATCTTCAATAGATAAATTCATATTAAGACTTTGTAAACCTGTTGTATTGATAACATTATAACCTATGTCATAATGACAAACTATTTGTTCACATTGATGAGCAATATCAATTAAAAATTCATAAAAGTCGTTATATCGAATTTTAACAACAAGAATTTGATATAATTCGTTCAAAAAAGTAGTGGAAATATTATTTTGCTTTATTATTGGTTCGAAATTTCTCTGAAATTCTAGTCGGAAATCTGAATTTACAGAATCTGCTACACTATATTTCGGTTTTAGTTCTTCATTGAGATAATTCTTCTTTAAAGTTGACCAAATTGAATTAGAAATTTCATTATCAAGATTTGTCTCAATATTATTAATCATTGGAATGTCAGTTTTATGAAATTCAATTGAATAATTATCCAATTTATAACTTTGCTCACAATTAATCTCTTTCGTTGGTAATAAAAGAAAATCTGGTAAAGGCTTAAATAGATGTGACAACAAAGAAACTATGTACAAAATTCTTACAAAAATCTTGTTTTCGTCAGATGCATTTAAAAATAAACAAATCAAAAAATATTCAAAGTTGTTTTTTATGAAATTATTAGTCATTCCTATATCTAAGGCTGTTCTATAAAGAGAAACGAAATAGGAAAAATTAAAATTGAATTGAATCCAATGATTAAATCGATTTGTAAATCGATAGATTTTATTAGAATGCGAATAAAGAGAACGAGAAAACCAAAGTGATAAACTTTTCTTTATTTCTGTAATGAATTTAAAATTTTGAAATGATTCTTTTGATATAAAAGACTTTTGTAAACGTTTATAATCAATTGGATTATTTGTTGATAATTTTAATGTTTTGAAATGATTTATAAATTGAAAATAATCGAAAATTCTTGAATTAGGATAATTTTTTACACAAAATAATAATAATTTCTTTTCTTCTTCGAGACTTAATCGACATCGTTTGTCAATACGATTTTTAAAAATTAAATAAAAATTCAAATGATAATTTAGAAAACCATTTTCTATAAAATACGAATAAAATCTTTTCTCTTTATTATCTATTTTAATTAGAAAATCTGTTTGATAACTATCGATTAGAAGATATATTAAACGAAGTAAAATAGCATGAGTATTACGATGAAAAGGAGTTAATCCACAAGTAGAGATTTCAAATATTTCTTTTAAATTAATATCATTTGAACAAGGTTCTTCTAAATTTAAAAATCTCTTATCAAAAAAATTTAAAATAAGATTAAATTCTATATCTGAATATGGATTGGATTGCCAACATGTTTTAAGAATTTCTACGCATATTTCATAACCATTCATTTGAAGAAATAAATCTTTATCTAATGTAGCAGTCTTAAAATAGAGAAGCGCAAGATACAAATTTCCAGCTGTTGTTTCTGCATTAATCCATTTAAGATTTTCATCAATTTCATATGAAAAATATCTTGGTTTTCCGAGTTTATCTAAATTTAATTTAATTCTATTATCAAAGAATAAATCTTCTTTTTCAATACGACAATAAGGTATAATTATTTTCTGATTACATTTTATTGGATTATCATATTCCATATCTGTTTCTAATACTAAATATTGTGATAATCCATTCAAAGTATCAATATGTTGATTTGAACTTAAACGATAATCTTTAAAAACTTCAGATAAAATTTTGTTATTTTCAAATTTAAATTTTAAATTTAATCGTAATAAATAAATCATCTTTGGTACATCGTCTTGTAAATTGTTTTTCAATACTAATATATAATTATCATTTTCAATTTGAGAAAATGTTCTATATAAAATATTTGATTGATCAAATTTATGTTTAATAAAAGGAATAATATACATATTATGTATATTTGAATAAATTTCTTTATTTTTTAAATCTATTTCAAATTGAATCTGTTTATTTTGATTTTTAATATAAATCTTATCATTCTTATACCAATGATTATAAAAAAGAATTTTTTCATTTTCATAATATGAACAATCTTTAATCAAGAATTTTGGTAATTTACTTAAATAATTTCTTGAAACAAATGTTTCATCATTATTTTCAATCCAGATTTGATTATTTGCCAATAAATTAATTTGAACATTACTCTTCGCTTTGTAACAACGTAATCTACAGTCGAAAGCATGTCTTTCACTAATCTCTACAAGAAAATTTTCTTTTCCAAAGCATTCTTCATAATGTGAATTATTAAGAATTCGACTTGGTAAACATGTCAATGAATGACCATTTTTCAATATACGACCTTTCAGAGGTATAAAGGAGTAACAACTGTTAAGATAGGAGTTCGTTTTTGTATCTTTTTTCCATAATTCATTTGAATGATTAAGAGAAATATTTAATATATCTAAATTCTTATCAATAATATTTTCAATTTTTGAATTTAAATTAAAAAGAACTCTCATTGTTTTAATATATAAACTAGAAGGTACAGAATAGTTCAATCGAAAATTATTATCTATCAGTATTCGGAATTTGAGTATTTCTATAACATTTATTTTATCGAACATCGTGACGTGTTTATATGTTAAAATAAAATAGCAACTCAAGATAGATGTTATAATTTGATTATCTTTCAAAGTTGACGCACTTTCCGTCGATATATATGTCGAGAATGAGTTCTGAAGTTCTTTTAAACAGTTATTAATTTCAGTTTTTAAACTATTAGAGCAAAAATCGTACAAATACAGTAATATATCTATAGCGTGTCCTATCGATTTATACTGTGTAAGTTTTTCCTTTAGATCTAAAGTTATTTTAATAAATATATTGATAAATACATGTGCAAAATTTTTGTTCTGAAAATCTTTTTCTAAAATACAATTTAAATTCGAGGATACTGATTTATATAAAGCTTGTTTAACTAAATAACAATGTTCTTCTATTTCAAAATTAATCTCTTCATTTTTTAATCCAATATATAACAATATATATCTTAATTCATTATATAATTGAATACATCCTAAACGATAATATTGTGGTCGAGTCAAATTATCTGGTTTTTCATTTTGACTGCTAATCATTTTATTTTCATCCATATAAGATTCACTTTCTATTGAACATTTAAATGCAATTAATCTTTGGTATTTGTTTTGTTCTCTAACGAGTACAAAATCAGTACATTTTCTATTATCAACATACGAATCTATTTTATTATATAAATCGGTATTAAGATCTCTATCGCATTCATATTTAGAATCACAATGAATAGTATTATACTCATTTGTTAACGATGTTTGTTGTTTTAAGTGTTGTATCTGATAACGACCAGTAAACTGTCGTAGTAAAAAGACTTTATTTTGAGAATTAAACATGCTTTTGTTATATGATGAATATCGTGTTTTTTCAACTGTTTGTTTAGAAAATCCATATAGAGATAGTCGTGACAAATATGAGATCTCTCTCAAAGATATTAATAATATTGGTATATACTTATCAGTAAATAAAAGTTCACACCATCTCTCTGTCAATTTATTCACTTTAACATCTTGGAGAGTTTCTTTAAAACTCGAATAAATGTCTGGAAGACTATTTATTAAGACATTTAATATATAAATTACATCAGTATTCGTCCTATCAGAGTCTTCTCTTATAATAAGTGACGACCAATGAAAAAGATAAAGTTTCTCTGTTGTACTTTGTTCATTATTCACTGAAGATAATTCATAATATTCTTTAATGTTTTTCAATAGATAAAACCACTTGCTCTCTGGTAAAGCTAATTGTGGAAGAATTGATTGTAGAGAAATAGTCTGTAATTCAGTACTTATCTTATAATTTCTAAGACTAGGACCAATCTTGTCATCATTTCTAACTATATCTTCTATAATAATAGAAAGACTAAATAGAATAAGAACTAATTGTGTATAATAAGTTGGATCATACGAACGATTTTCATCAGGATATAACTCTGAAAAAATGATTGCTGAGCAATTATAATACAAATATCCAATTTGAACTAACATCTTAACTACTATTAGATTGGACTTTGAATCACTGTACCAGTTTTTAAAACGATTTTCTTTAACAATTAAAAATACAAAGTTTTCTATTAACTGACAGATCTGAATTACTCGGTTAAATCCATAATTTTGAGTCAGTTCATCTAACATTTTAGAAAGAACAATTATAGTATTATTTTGATTTTGGCTAAAATTAAAGCTCACAAAAGGAATTTGTTTTCGTACTATACTATTCTGTAAAGAATCGAAATTGTTAATAATATCTTTCTGAATAAATTTTAATCCTTTTAAATCATCTGATAATAATGTCTCAAAATTATTACGATAATATTTTATATTTTTGATTGTTTTTTTATCTCGCTCTTCTTTGTTTAGTATCAAATTCCTATTCATAATACTCTTTTGAACTGTCAATATATAATCAACAATTGTTTTCTTCGAAATCTCTCGATTAATTACAACATCATATGCTATTTTGTTGCACATTTCATTCAGTAAAAAGTTATATTTTAAATGATTTATAATAGAACCAGTTCTTGCTTGTTTATACTCGTGGAAATAATTTGTTAGTAAATAAAAATGAAATTTGCAAAGTATTTTCATATATAAAGAATGCGCTTCTTGATGGTTAAAGAATTTTTTCAACAAATAATAAAATACATTCTTTATAAGTGTCCAAGATAAACTAAAATATCCTTTCTCTTCAATATCAACAAAAAATTCTTTTTCATTTTTTAAATTTCCTTCTCCCGCTAATTTAGCGATAACAACTTCGTAAAGATGTTCCAGTTTATACGCTGTGTCACTTCGAATAGTTTTAAGTGTTACGAATGGTAAGAAAAAATTATCATCGAACTTATCATTTGGAATTCTTTTTATTTCTATTCCTAAACTAATTTTATCTGTAGTGAGTTCACGCAGCGATCTATGATAAGGACTTATTGTATCCATCTGAATTAATGATTTGAATTCTTTACTGTCACATTCAATAATGGAGGCAGCGAAGTATGGACCACTATATTTATTTTCTAGCATAAGAAAATCTGAATGATTGGAATTACTGAGAGAAACTTGCGCAAGACCGCTCGGTAAAACGCAGATATCTTGAAGATCGCGAATTTTCTTCTGTAATTTAGTGACATAGTTCTTCAAATTTTGATCTTGCTCTGATGATTTTCTAATACAATTCACTTCTTCCAGATCAACAAACCATTCTTCTAAAATCTTAACAATAGTCTTCATTCTATTCTTTTGCTCATCGGTAATAGAAAAAATCCTTCTAGCATAATCATTTTCTTCTGCGTTTTCAACCTTTGGAAATACATATTTTAGAAACAAACTTAATATTTCTTTTTCATCGGGAATCTCTAGTCCACAACCAACAGTTATATTGGAGCCATAGAAAATCGCAAAAAGCTCACCTCTCTTACCAACCATCAGTTCTGCAAAATTATATTGAGTATATTCCGCAGTGAATCGTAATATATTGTCCATTGGGAAACTTGTAAACATACCAACTGCCTCTATAATAAAGTAAAATAATTCCTATACTAGGGATGTTAGTGTGAGAGTAGAGCACTAAGCTAATAGGATGGGAGGAATATGTGTGTAAGCAGATCATTGTTTGAGGGTTTGACTATAAATATAAGAATGTATTTGTTGTACATATACATATATTTGTACCTGCACTCTAGTTCATACCACTCCATCACATCTTGGGGCTATAATTGAGGGTAGATGTTAATAAAAGATAGCAACAACTTCAGTCATATTCATCCATATCACTACCCTAGATATAACGACTAACGTTGCAGATATATGAATCTCGTTGACAAAAAGGGTGGCTAATCCTCGAAATTATAACCGCACTTCTGATGGTATTTTTTCAGAACTAGACATATGATATAATGCTTTTCTCGAAATTCTTCCATCATAATTGCTCATCAGTCTCATTTTTGTGTACTCAAAAAGTGAGTACATCTATAGAATCGGTCAGTGTCTCGGTTGAGAAATACCCGAGTTATTCTAAAAGTACTGAAACATTACCAACCCCATCCTGAGAGGGAGAGAGGGGGGATACAGGGATTCCTGAAAAAACAATTTTCGCATAAAATTATTTACAAGATTTGTAATAACATACGTCAGTTTAGTGGAGGTACCATAACTGCTCAAGTTCCATACTATGGCGGTCTCCTTGGGGTCTCATATACTATACTATGGGGGTACTCGTAGATTGTCAATCATATTAGTCTGTCAGTCGAGTTTGAGGATGCTCGCGATTTATGAGTCATTACTAAGTTATGTCAACATCTTGATATATGCGTATGATTTTTATGCTTTAACAGATACTTTTTACAGTATACACAATGTTCGGATAAAATCCGAAGTCTTCGCCTTTATTATACTTGTGATATTTAGGTGTAAGTAAATCATCTCTATTTGCGCTATTATTCAATCAATAATATACTCACTGATATTTGCTTCTTTAACCCAGTGGTGACGTAATGCGTGCTCAAGATTGTTTCGTTGTTGTAATAAATTCGCTCCTCTTAATTTTATCGCGTAGATTCCCATAATTGTTATAATTTTGCGAAAGATATTGTAATTATTTGATCTTATCGCTAAACCACTTTCATGTGATTTAAAAAAACAATTACTCTCTGCTTGTGGTCGGAAACACTCGAGTTTTCTGCAAAGATCTTCTAATTGATATGTCATCTGTGCCACTCGACTTGTGTCCAAATATTTTAACTTTCTGTTATTGTAAAATGTTTCGATTCCGTCGGAACGATTCAGAGTTTTTTTCATAGACATTAATAATGATTTGAAGTAATCTGTATTATCATCAAGCTTCTTCAAAGGAATTTCTCCTATTATTTTCGGAATCATGATGCAATTTTTTTCATCAGTTCCATACGTTTGATGTTCGGTTGATTCATTGTAATTCAGATTATCAATTCGAATCACAATACTATAAGATTTTCGTATAAAGTTGAGACATATCGCATGTTCAAGCCATTTAACTGGTAATGTGTATTCTTCGTTCCTTTCCATATTCTTCAATTGATGAATAATATTTCTTATTATTGACGAGTAAAACAATTCTACATGTTCATTAGCAATACAACTAATATTCACAAGTAAATTACATGCTTCTAAATTATGACGAAGTTCACGTAACATATGTTCGTATTCATGTTTTGATTGGATATTGGAGCTCTGGTTTAGCTCAAAACGAACTAATTCTTCGAATAAGCTACGTATTATCAATGTAAAGAATGCTTGATGTGTACCACCATCTACCGATGGTTCATTAATGTTTAAAATACCTGTTATCATCGTAAGTGAAGGATCTTCACCAACAACCCATAGGTGATCATACATATTTTTTCGTAAAAAATAACTTGCAGCATAATCAAATAATGTTTCCTGATTTCCGTCGTGAAATAATTGTACACAGTATCGAATTCGTTGATTTATCATACCTTTGGTAATTGCAGATCGATGTTCTAGTAAGTATTTAAGGATTTCATTATTGACAGGATTATTCTCAACGCATAAAAAGTCAATTGGAGTTGAAATAAAGCATAAATGTTGTAAACCATCATTAGGATGTTCGTTATTATGATCGAAATCTAATTGAACAAGATTACAATCGGCTCCATTTTCTATTAATAATTTGGAAATTGAAAAATCACGTAATTTAATAGAATGATACAATGCTGTACCCTTCAGTGTCAGAACATTGACCTGTATACCTTTTGTTAGCATCTCTCGAATCAGTCGTACGTTTGATTCTTCGATAGCTCGCAAGAAAGCTTCGTGCGCGATATGAGACATTTTATCGACGCCAGTTATTGCTATTGATTATGCAACAGAGTTGAAGATGATAAAGTATTTTATCAAAATACTCTATGTAATAAAACTGTTGATTAAAAATAATGATCTCTTTTATGAATAAGCACTATTGTTAACTCATACGCTTACAGCGTCGATTTTGTATATGGTTAAATGCAACTGCTTTCTCTTTCTGTTTACATTCAAACTTCGTTTGATAAATTTCTCTTCTGTTCTGATTCAATGTTTACATTGGGAAAAATTTCTTCCAACATTGCTCTTGGGAAGCCAAAGCAACGATGTTTGAAAAGAACAGCACTGTGTGAATGGCAACTAACTAAACATAGAGTCATGTATGTATTTGAATGAGAGTACGCGAACAAAATTCGTAGGAAAATGTATTTTTATGCGTTCAAAATCGCACATTTTAACATATTTTGGTGTAGACAAATAGTGAGTACAAAACCAGAATCGGGCAGTGTGTCTGTCCGACAGTTTATTCGATAACTCTCGAAAAATACAATTGCTTGAGCTAAAACTTTGTGCATAAATTTGTCTCGTCAATATCTAGGTCAGATTCGAAGGTGAGAAGGAACCGTTAAGAAATGGTTAAGTTATCAAAAACATACTTCTTATTGAAGATGAGGGTGAGGTGTGGGTGAGGGTGAGGTGTGGGTGAGGGTGAGGTGTGGGTGAGGGTGAGGTGTGGGTGAGGGGGAGGTGTGGGTGAGGGTGAGGTGTGGGTGAGGGTGAGGTGTGGGTGTGGGTGAGGTGTGGGTGAGGGGGAGGAGGGGGTGAGGGTGAGGTGTGGGTGAGGGTGAGGTGTGGGTGTGGATGTTGCTGTTGAAGGGAGAACCCATATGTACATAGTCATCCTCACTCACACTCAGATCCTCAATCAAAACAATGAAACTTTTAGTATTGCAAAAAGAACCTCTTGAAACGTCACTTTCTTCAAATTGAAGACAGAATAGAGTTACAAGATATTTCTTCGTGTATTCAAAAAGTTAACTAACAAAGTATCGGCGATAAACGATTGTCTTTTTGGTTAATCTCAATCGAATAAGAGCATAGATATACATAGGGATATCCAAAAGTAGTGGCAACGATATTTTAGGATTAGACCTGCGACAGTTCAAGTTCAATAGTTACTACAAACTGAGAACTTGAAATGCACGACAGTTCTAATTCAAAAGAACTGCAACTCTTCGACGGTTCTAGTTCAAGAGAACTGTGATGGCAAACAAGTTCCTACTCAAAGAACTCAAAATGAACTTGTAGCTTGAAAACTCCCCTATTGTGATATTTATGTTCTTTATTCGATCCTTGATGCGCTTGATATTGAAGAGATATGCATGATCTAATAAGAATCTGCTAGATCGTCGACTTAAACGTTGTCCGATAGTCTCTGTATGT